TGTTGAAGCGGGTGGAATCGAAGTGTTGCTAGAGGTCGAGGTTGTAGCGGCAAGATTTGAAGCGTCGCTAGAGATTGATGTTGAAGTGGGTGGATTTGAAGTGTCGCTAGAGGTCGAGGGTGAAGCGGGAAGAGTTGAAGCGTTGATCGTATACTTCTCTTGTGGTAAAGACATTTTCGGTACTGCGGGTGTGGTGCTTGTTGAGATGTTCGCGATGGCATCCATGAGACGCATTTTGAAAAAAAAACGGCCTCTTCCACCTCCTTCATGATTTCGTCAACTTCGCTGGTTGTTAATATTTGCTCGTCGAGCTCGCTGATAAGTTACAATTTTTCCTTTAACATCGCATCTATCCTCGTTAGCCGGTTTCTCGTTTTCATGTCCAGTAGTGCGACATCCTTTTCCAAAATTTCGTCCGATTCTTCGATTAATTTCGTAACAACTCCCCTATTTGCCGCGCGCTTTGCTCGTAGTCGAGGAAGGGCCTCCTCCGTCATCTTGAGATGGTCGAGATTCACTGCCCCACTTTGGGCGCCATGTTATAAACTCGTAAAAACTACACTTGTACTCTTTGCATTCGTTTATTAACCTATCGAGATGAATTGTGTATGGTGGCCGAGGGCTGCCACTCAAAATTTTACAACTTTTCAAAGATTTAATAAAAAAAAGGCCTTGTGGAAAAATAAGCCGATCTTAAAGAGGCTTTGCTGAAATATGTCGGGTGAGGATTACAAAGACGAGAGATGTTAGATTTCCTCACTCGTGACTTTCCACTTTACGCGTGGAGTCTAAGGATGCTTGATAGAACGCTTCGTCATTTTGACATATTTTTTCAATGATGGTACTCATAAAGTAGATCTAGTAATGAAGGCATTTCATTACTAGATCCTCTCTGAAATCTGACATCGAAATACTAGAAAACTCTTCTAAATCACTCAAGATCAAAACAACTTCACAACTTAAGTGAATGGACCCTACGCACGATGGGACATACAATCACGCCCGCACAGTATCATGGCAGTGGCAGCCCTCGGCCACAGCGATATTCACTTTGACTTTTGTTTTGATTTGATGTTCACTTTATTTTTTATTTCGCCGTGAATTGCCCTTGGATTTCAGTTTAATTTTGATATGATTTTAACTTTGAGAATGCAATTACTTTTGCTTTTAAATTTGCTTGCTACTTCATTTTACTTTCAATCGTTCTTTTTCCTTTGTTTTGCAGTCACGTTCCATTTTACTTTCAGTTTTGATTTATTTTTTCTTTTATTTTTTATTAAATCTTTGAAAAGTTGTAAAAATTTTGAGTGGCAGCCCTCGGCCACCATAATTGTGTTCTAAAATTGTACGTTGGGTTTTCATTACAGAACGAAACACTCATTCTGGACGACCTTTTCTACCTGTGCAAGGTAAATGCGGCACGGCTCTCATTTGTATGAATCCTCTGTAGGAGCGAGGGAAGCATTGAAAAAGACAGAAAAGGACATAAACACTTGTTTTTAACAAGCTAATTGTTGCCACTCCCACACGGATAAGACTTAAGTACTTTTATAATTTTATAGCGGTCGTTTCCGAAATTCCAGGCGCGCACCCCCGCTCTCTTTACGTAAAGGAGTCCCCCTGGGTGCTGATACGTGCAACACACTTGACATTTAGCAAGGAAAAATTCTGATGTGATTTTTGGCGAAGAGAAACAAGTTTTGACAGTCGCTAGCGCGGAAGGGCCCTTTACCACCGTGTGCATAATTACGCGTCCCCTCAGACGGCGGAAAGCCAACAAAGTGTTCAGACATTAGTTCAGAAAACTCCGCCTCTGTCTGAATTTTGGTAGCCTATTGGCCAATTTCCAATCGAAACTTAAGTCTGACGTCACGCGTAACTTTGCTCACGGTGGTAAGTAGCCTACTTACCGAAGCCAGATTGTGTGAATTTTCCAGACATCTTGAGTACTATCTGTTATACACGCTTGCCAATTCCCCTATCAGCTTTTGGATCGACTTAACCCTACCTTTACCATGGCCGGACATTTCTTTTGGCACCCTACATCTGCTATTGGAACCACGATTCCACCCAACACCGAGATTTGATCTGTGAGTGGGGCAATTTGTAAAATCATCAATATCTTTTGGCGTCTCGAAGATGCCGGCAGGCGACAAGACAAGATCAATTTCATTTTCTGGATCTGAAAACTTGCAACTCCGCAAGTGACTTGAAATGTCTTTTTAACAAACACGCAAGGGAACGACTTGGTCTTCTCGATAACTAAACTCACAAGTTCCACCAGCGCACGATCTAACTAAACAGCAAATCTCCATGTCTTAGCATGTAAGATGAGACGCTTGTCAATCAAATTGACTATTGTAATCATACTTTGACTTCAGCCGGCAATGGAATCATTGATGGATCTGGACGTTTTAGTTTTCTAAATGCAGTAATTCCCGAAAGGTTTTTCTAGATGTCATGCAAAGAGGAGAAAAAACCCACCTCTTGGTATTTCGGAGGTTGACTCATCTTTGAATTTCTGTGTCACGCTTGTCACGCAACTGATATAATAAGATAGAGAAGATGGACTGCCATGTGGCAATTTTACAGGATATTTGGACGCTTCGAACTCTGTAGCAGTCAATTCGATTGAGAGCAGTTGACTTTATTGATGCACTTTCCTGTAATAGGCGAGTGTTTGGGATGGAGAACGACGGATTTTGAAGAACTGTATGGCGACCTAGGTCAATAATCAATGACAAAAGAACTGGCTCGGGAAGTAAGAGGTTTTTATTTATCGAGTCCCTGTGAGGTTGATAAATAGCAGAATCAGTACTGAATATGTCTCGATCGAGAGCAGACGGGACCATGAGCTCCTGATTGTTATATTTTAGAAATTTTACAAATTTCCACACAGTTTCTTATATTATTTGGACGCCATTATGGACGAAATGCGCAAGCGCGGCCGCCATCTTGTCCAATATTTCTGCCGGTAGAATGATTTTCTAAAACTTGTTCTAAAATTAGCGAAGGCTGTTCATCACATGACGCTGTTTTGGAACGAGTATATCTCGTTTGCTACTGTATCACATTCCTGTTTTAGACAAGGTATTTATACCATTTAAATTTGAGAAAGAATGAGTAGAACGTAAACCACGTTTTCTGTAAAGTATAGGAGCCATCCTAACCTAATTTGCAAAGTGCTTTCCAGGCATCATATGTACAAAAAACCTCTTCAAATTTTAAATTGTAAGATTTTCATCCAAAACCGTGGCTCCCAATATATATTTCTCACCTTTCGTAAAAAATTTTCAAAATATATTTCCAGATTTTTCACAACTTTGCCTATTGCCGCATGTAGGTTCAGCCATAACCATATGGTCATTGGCCCCTGCAATAGCCGCTAACAGTGGCTTATAAGGCGTTTAGTGTTAACTTGTAGAAATTCCCTGAAGAAGTTTACGACAGTTAGAAGAAACGCGTCGGAGAATAAAGAAGTTTTACAACTACTGTTCGCAGAGTGCTACTCACTAGTTTGGTTTTTTTTTCTTAAACTGTTTAAAAATTATTAAAAAATTCATAAACGCATGCATGCGTTTATTATTTTTTTTTCAATGAGTCGGAGCTATTCCTGTCAGCTGTGAAATATAGGAATGGCTCCAGTCTCTGGTCGTCCGCCTGAACTGACTAAATGAGTTTAGTCAGCGGAGCTAATCAGCATATGACTTTTTCATCGCCGGAATATCGCTGAACGACCTCGCTGAACAAGAAAGGCTGCCTTACCCCCGCTACGTAAGTAGCCATTTCTTGTTTGACACGTCGGTGTTTTCACTCGCATTGATATTTCATTGTTCCGCTTCGAGACACTTGGATAAACATTACTCACGAGCGAGGAGTTAAGATATAACTTATTAATTTTTTCTATTTTTATCATCCAATTACAGGTCGGAGCCATTCCTGTACTTAGTCGCTAGTCTATAGACAGGCGGCTCAAGCTCCAGCTGTGAGCTGATCATCTTGCGTAATAACAGTCATGGCGGAATTATAAGAGTTTGTATGGGAATATTTACGACCGCTCTAAGGAACAAAAAAAATACATCAAATTCTCAAAGAAAGTACCTCACCTTACTTCCACAGCGTATTGTTTGTTATCTGACCGCTTACTTTGATGAAAAGAAAAGAAACGCATTTTAGCGAGTTGTCCATTTCGAGGTTTTCAACGTACATAAGAAAAGGGCTTTTCAGTATCAATAGCAACCAGGACAGAGTCACTGGTAAACAGGAGCTCTCTGACATAGGTCTCTTGTCTTTGATGGAGCTTTGAGTCTCAGATTCGCCTAACAGTTATCAATCTACACGAGTCTTTGGGACTGGTCATTATTTATTACCTTTAGGGGTTAGAGGAATTTGGTTGTCACAATAACATTTACCTAATCCCCTAAGGTTCTGTAATGTTGTGATGTACCCCCTCCCCCAACGCACACACAAACACTTCATTGGTAGTCAATTCTCTATATTCCCCACTTTCTACTCTGTTAGCAACGACTGATCCCCTTCCACTCTCCCTAAAAAACCATGTTATCTCCCAAAATCCTCCACCCTCACCCCTACCTCCAGGCGAATGTCTGGCTCCTTAATGACTTGTACGTCTTAAATAAGAATTTGACAAGTGGTGTCTAAATGGATTGAGCTTTGTATCAATGCAAAAGTCAAGAATTGGCAGGTACAATTGACATGGAAAATTACGCTCAAATGGCGGACTTTGATTTCTCCTCTTTCTCTTTCATTCATTTGGAGTTGAAGGGAAATGTGTTCATTTGTTCTCGCAGTTTCCTTACCAAACCCAATTTAAAATCGTGGCGGTTCATACCTGTCGCAGACGAAAATTTCATAGGACACCTCATCCTTTTTGGCGGCACATATCCCTGTAGCATACATAGGAGAGTACCCCTGCTAGCCCATGGTCCGAATCAAAACTTGTTATAAACAAAACGTATAAAAGTACAAAATCACCTGCAGTAAAAACTTTTGTTTCCATATTTAAAAATTATAAAATATGTATGTAAATGATATTTTTTCGAGTTGCAACTTCTAAGACAACAACTTCTCATGTTAATAATTAGAAAACATCTACATAACATTCCTACCTACTCTATGAAAAAAAAACGGATTATACTATCACAAAAACTGCATAACCCGTAAAAAAAATTCATACCAAAAGTAATTTTGAGAGTATTACTTAATTTTGTTCGTGATAAAATCAGCTAAGCTGAAAAAAAATAACAGTTTAGAGTACAAACTTTGCCTAAATGATTTCCCAGGTTAACCCTATAACTCCCAGATCAAATTCGTAATTCTCCTTATTGTCAACCATACAATTCTTATAATGTTAGTTCAGAGAATTTAGTATTAGATCAACTAATTATCCCTAAATTAATATTTATCTCTACTCTCGTCGCTTATCTGGTTGATATTGAATAAGAAGAAATTCTGTCTTGGTCACTCATAGGAGTTAAAGGGTTAAGTTTGATTAAATTAATCTAAAAGAGAATACAATAGTTTTTCCAACACGCAAATCTGCCTCAGAGAACTAAGTAAACAACAAAGGAGAGAACTTTCAATTAAGCTGTTACATGGTATCTTTAAGTCAACTAACAAAAAAAACATCATCTGCTATTGAAATTAAACGTATTCTTATCTTATTTGTACGTCACTAGTTTACGGAAAATGTTCGAAATTTTGTCTTTCAAAAGACAGATATTCGTTAACTACTTTATAAAAAAGGGATTCAATATTCTTTGCATCCTACGGAACTCTAACACAGAATTGCATCTACGCTTCCACAAAAAGACTTATCAAGCTACTGTATTTTAACCTTCTTTCTGAAACGAACTTAACATGAACAGAACATCAATGAAAGTTTCATAATAGTTTGTCTAACTATGCCATCAATTTTTGATGGTGACGTTTAGTCTGCCACACCGAGAGTCGTTTAGAATACACAGTTTGATCGACAATTCATGGAGAGTCAATAACCTGTGATAACCTAACAAACTATTGTTTATCCAACTACAAAACAAGCGTCAAACAATGATTCAATCTTTCATAAAAATCACATTTTAATTGACACGCGATAAGAAATAAGAGGAGCCTATCCGAGCTTTATGCCTCTGACTTAATGGAACGGCAAAGTATCCAGCCTTTTCTGACTTCCCAGTCAGTGCCAGTTATCGCTTCGAACAAACACTGTTTGCCCGCGTCTGTTATATTCCGATTTCCTCGCAGGTTTAAGCTCTGTAGTTTGCAGTTGGTATCAGTTATGGCTTTACAAAAGTGCATAATTCCTTGGTCTCCTAAACCATTGTCACTAACGTTTAAGCTGGTTAATGTGCAGTTGACGCTGGTTAGTGCGTCACACAAGTGCATGATTTCATTGTCTCCTAACCCATTGTCACTGACGTTTAAGCTGGTTAATGTGCAGTTGACGCTGGTTAGTGCGTCACACAAAGTGCATGATTTCTTTGTCTCTAACCAATTGTCACTGACGTTTAAGTTGGTTAATCTACATTTAAAGCCGGTTAGCGCGTTACACAAGTACATCGTTCCTTCGTCTGCTAAACCATTATTACTGACGTTCAAGCTGGTTAATGTACAATTAACGCTGGAAAGGACGTTACACAAGTGCATTATTCCCACGTCTCCAAACCGATTCCAACTGACGTTTAGGCAAGTCAATGTAAAGTTAACGCTGGTTAGTGCGTTACACAAGTGCTTGATTCCTTCGTCTCCTAAACGATTGCCACTGACGTTTAAGCTGGTTAATGAACAGTTAACGCTGGTTAGCGCGTGACACAAGGGCATTATTCCTACGTCTCCCAACTGATTCCAACCGACGTTTAAGCTGGTTAATGAACAGTTAACGCTGGTTAGCGCGTTACACAAGAGCATTATTTCTACTTCTCCAAAAACATTCCAATTGACGTTTAAGCTGCTTAAATTGCAGTCACTACTGATCAGCGCTTCACACAGGTGTTCTAATCCTTGACTTTGTAAACCAATGCTATCCAGTGTCAAGCTGTAAAGTTCACTCTGAGTAAGCGCTGTACTCAATTTCTTCAAACCTTCATCAGATATCCGACTGCTAGAGATGATTAATCTGGTTACTTTCCAGTCCCTGTTGGTGATCGCTTTACACAGTGTTATCAAATCAGGGTCGTACTCTGTTGGCCACGCCTTCAATATGCCTGACGTCGAACTATACAACGGTGTACGAAACATCTCTTCGTCCTCGTCCTCGTCCTCTCGATACCAGTCCCATGGTAGTTTAAATCCGGGTAGCTCATCCATAAACAGCAGCACCACCTGCCATGCACCTTCCCTGATGTGAATAGTAAGGAATGTTTTCAATTCGTCTTTATCCATTGCTTCTCGTAATTCCTCCAAGGCACGAGGTGATTTAAGTGCTAAAGGAATAAAACAAAAGAAATACTAATCTTTTACTTGAAAACATGACAGCGAAAAAAATCGGCGTTACATTTTCCTTTTTTCTTTGTCTCAAAACTTTTTTTGTCTCAAATACCTCTGCAAATTGGAAACGAAAAGAATTTCGAGTCTCAGTATTTCGAATTATTTTTTAATTACTCCAAGTCAGAGGAAACCAGTTGGTAAGACAAGGAGACGGGCAGTATGAACAATAAATGTCGTGCGATTACAAAAACATTAAGATAAGCCTATCTTCTTTTTCTTTTCCAAAAATTCTTCAAAAATCTAGAGTCCAAAATGCCTGCTAGAGATGTTTTTTGTTTTTTTTTTTCTAACTCTGATTTTAAACCGGAAAAAAATTTGGTTTCACTTTGCAAACATAACAACGAAATATTAGTTTTAATAAATTGATAGAAACGTTTTTTTCCTGGGGAATACGATCATAAAGTAATTAAGTTACACCATATAAGCGACCAGCTTTAACATCAGAATTCTGTGCACTTATGGACTGAGTAGAAGGGTCATGTCGGTCCGGCTTGATTTTACTTAATCAATTATTCCATTTTTATTCCATGACCGCACTCCTTTTTCTTTCTCGCGGGACCGTACGCTTAGCCGTGCAGCATTTAATGTCTCTGCTCGTGCAACTGCGCACGGCCCTCATAAAGGGGTTTATTTAAAAATCTTTTTTTTTTCTTATTAAGAACGGGCATTAGACCGCGCACAAACCCAACACAGATCGCAAATCAGGGTAGAGAATATCCCATGACCATTACACAAACCCAGCATTTCTCAAAAATCTTAGATAACTGGACATGTGTTTGAAAACCATTACAAGCCTATTTTAACAATGTTAAGTACGTGAATATGAAAGCGATCTTCACAGTAATGAACACTACTTAAGCAGTAGTGAAAAGAAGGCCTGAAAAAAAATTTTTTTCAGGCCTTCTTTTCATTACTACTTAAGCAGTGTTCATTACTGCGAAGATCGCTTTCATACTCATGTCTTTAACCGCAGTTCAAATATATGACTTCCATATATTCACAACCGTTTAATGTTAAGTACCTCGCCTGCGTAAGCCAAGTTTGGCTGACTCTTTAAACAAGTAGCTAACATAGCTCTGGAGTTCCTCGGGTAAACGCACATCAAACTTCGCCAGTCCTGATCTAATGGTCGGATACATGGCCTTCTCTAATGCTATCATGAAGGATACAAAAAAGGTACAACCTATTTCAGTACTTTAGGTCACATCATCGGATACGAGAAATTCATGTACAAAATAAGGAACTGCTCATCAAGGCAACGTAAGCGTCAATGTTGTCATAGACTGTGACAGAACACAGACAAGTTTTAAAGGTCAAATTCACATTTGCCATTCATATTGTCGATCATTTCTGGCATGGAACATTAACGCAAAAGTTCTTTAATCACCCACGAGCTACATGAGGGTCTCAGTAGGGCGATGGCTTTACGGCTAACAGTTAAAATGTTGGCCATTTTAGGGCTAAAAGTTAAAATGTTGGTCATTTTACGGCTAACGGTTAAAATGTTGGCCATTTTACGGCTAACGGTTAAAATGTTGGCCATTTTACGGCTAACAGTTAAAATGTTTGCAATTTTACGGCTAACGATTAATTTGTTTCTGTTAACATGTTTAAAAGAAAAAATTTTTGCAGTTAGCCCTTTTTACGGTTAACGGTTAACCAAACTGACACCCTCCTACAAGTGATGTAGTTTACTGACGTGTATCTTTACTACATGTACCGTTAAAGCAGATATGTATGGGTGTGTGTGTGTGTGTGTGTGCGTGCGTGTGCGTGCGTGTGTGTGTGTGTGTGCGTGCGTGTGCGTGCGTGTGTGTGTGTGTGTGTGTGTGTATGTGTGTATTGCATTATTAATATTCACCTTCCATCCTTCCTTTCTGAAGTTTCTTAAGTAGTTCCTCTAGTTCTTCTTTTAAACGCCGTACTTGGTTGATAGCATCATATGAGGAGGGAGTATCTTAAATAAAGAGTAAATACGCATTATTCAATGCTTCAACATGTAATGAGCAGCGCAGATGTTTTGCAAGTTGCATGCAGGGCTTACATATTTAAGAGAAAATAATATAATTAGGAGTCTTATAAAAAAACTAAAAGAAAGTGTTTCACCTTTCAGCTTGTTCCTTAAAAATCAAGCCTAAAATACTAGTACAACTATTTCCTTGCATCACTTTCCATATTTCTTTTGCCTTGTTCAACGGAGCCAATACGCATGTTTCACTCACCTTCCAATCCTTGTCTCTCAAGTTCTGTACGTATTTGTTTCAGTTCTTCTTCAAGATCAGAAATAAATAGTTCAGGGGGAGGCAAAGTACCTGAAAGGAAAGGTAAACAGATACACTGTATTTGGCGATCAGTGCCTTACCTTGCATAAATGGTTAAAAACAGGCATTTAACCAGCACTGTACATTGTGTTGGGGTCATGTGATAGCACAATTATAGTGTCAGTTTTTTTATTAATCTCTTATGGTTATTGTTGAAATCAATCATTTAGAAAAATTGTTACATAATAATAAGCCACAGCCAACTTAATACTCCCTTTCACCACAGCAAAGAATAAGGAAAAAATTAATTAAGAAAAATTTCATATGAAAGCTGACACTTTTACATAATACCTGAAAGTATAGGACAGCAACCTCACTTAATAACTATAAAGGAAGAGGATTCATCCTTTCTAACGAACAGCTTCCCTTTAAAATGTATAATTTGAATAAGGAATGAAAGCATTCATCAATAGTAATAAAATCAGATAACAGGTTCTTTTAAATAAGGAATTATTTTCCTTGAAAAGTGATAATTCGATACAGGGGTGAAAGCCTTTAATAGCATTCTTGGATTTATTTCTATCTGATAATGAATCAATAAACACTTTAAATTCACCTTCCATTCTGAGCCTCTTAAGCTCTTTGCGTAGTTCTGCTAACTTTTTCTCAAGATCAATGGATGAAAATTTAAGGACAGGAAAACTACCTGAGAACAAAGAAATACATTTAACACTCAGTTTCTTACCTGATATAAAAATGTTAAAGTATTATAACATGTATTGAGGTCAAGTGAAAGAACAATGATGCAAGTTTTCCATTATATCATTGTGAAATAACCTATCTATAACTATTATTTCATTACCACATGCCACAGCCAATTTAATACTACCTTTGACTAAAGTTGTACATCAAGAGGCAAAACTGAATTCAAAATATGTTCCTTAACAAAACTAAGTTACTAAATAATAGCTGAGAGCATTTCACAGCATTCTTGGGTAAAAGTAAGGACAGAAAAAGGTGAATATCTTATGTAGGGAATAGTCTCTCTTAAAAGTGCTTAGTAGAAAAAATGTGAAACATTAATTTTAGTGGCACTGAGCTATTTACAAGGCTAAAATATTTACAAAAGTAAAAACCCAAACATTTTTGACACTCGGTCATCATCACCCTGACAATGACCTCATGTCAAAAATGTTTGGTTTTTACTTTTCAATATTCTAGCTCATTTTTAAATCTAAACTTTTAACGACAGCTATTAGCATTCTAGGATCAGCATCTCCCTAAAAATGATAAGCTATGAATTTTTCCATTCACCTTCCATTCTCAGCATCTTAATTTCCTTACATACTTTTCCTAGCTTTTCTTCAAGATCAGCGGTGGGGAGAAGAGGGGGAGGTGAAGAACCTGGGAGCAAAGGTATACAGAGCTTTTCAAAATTCAGTCTCTTACTTTACACAGAAATGATAACAACGGTTATACCTGTGTGAACAGCAAATTATTAATACTCATGTTAAAGTAAAATAGTGTTAGTTCTCCATTATGACACTATGATCATTGCTGAAAGCAACCATTATGTATTTTTACCACATGCTGACTCAACACCATCTTTAACTAAAGTAGAGAATGAGACAATGCCAAATTTAGATTAATCTGTGGTTGACTCTTGCCCTACAAACACCTCACTGTTACAGACATCTCGCCGTTGCGGACAAGAGTAAGTTCCTGGGAAAATGCACAAAGAAATGACTGAAATAAACTCCCTTTGTAACAGACTCTTGCTATTGTTATGAAGTTTCACTTAGTGTATTTTCTGTCACACTAGAAACAATATCTGTAATTTTGCACATGTAGCAAAATTTGAAAGTTTATAGAACCAGAATAAGCTTATCACGAGAGACCAGTTAGTTTTCAACACGCACTAAGAAAAAAAAAATCGCTCGGCTTATAGGTGAAGAAATACGGTAATCGTTGTTTCAGTAGCAGCGCATATTGAAATTTATAGTGTTCTGGCGGGAGAGCAAAGCGTGATGCTCTGGGAATAAAAACTCTTAGGGGCCTTTTTACATAATATCGGAAGGAGTTTTGTTCAAGAACAAGTTCATCCCGGTCGCCACATGATAGCAGAATAAAACTGTTCGCAACGAGTCATCAGGCGATCGGATATGAGTGAGGATGCTTGTCGTACCTTTCAGGGGTCAAAATCAGTGATCTGGTACCTTTTACGATGTCTCAAACTTTCGGTGGACTACCAGAGACCTTGCTGGTACCATTTAGGATGTTTTTCGCTCAATAAAATACCTGAAATAAGCATTACTAGGACGATTTTAATGATCTGACTTGAGCCACTGGAGCATATCGATAAAGGAGTTTTTATTTTTAGGATTTTTCCATTTTTTTTTTGGTTTAAATTGGTACTTTTTAGAGGTAGACATCAGTTGTTGCCACTCCCACACGGATAAGACTCAGGTTTTATAGGGATCATTTTCGAAATTCCCGGCGCGCATCCTCGCCCTCTTGTGTATAGGGGTTCCTCGGGGGGTGCTGATACGTGCAGCACACTTGAAATTTAGCAAGGACAAATTTTGATGTGATTTTCGGTGAAGTGAAAAAAGTTCTGTCAGCAAATCTCATTGTTAGCATGTAAGATGAAACGCTTTTACAACAGATTAATTAGCTAAATCAGTATGTAGCTTGTCAATCGAATTGACTTTTGTGAACATTCTTTGACTTCCGCCGGCAAAGGAATCATTGATGGATCTGGAAATTTTAGTTTTCTGAATACAGTAAACAGAAGGTTTTTAAAGATATGCAAAGAGGGAAAAAACCCATCTCTTGGTAATTCGGAGGTTGATTCATCTTTGAATTTATGTGTCACGCTTGTCATGCAACTGATATAATAATGTGGAGAAGTTTTATAAACTGCAAATTAAATCTGGCTAAAATATGGTAGAGCATAACTTGATCATCGGAACAGCTCATAAAATCGTAAATAAATGAGGTAAGAGTATTATGCTAGATTTTTTTAACAAATTTTAGTGATTTATGCTAGTAAACGGTGGCGACAAATAGGCACAAGATGTATATTTCATAGTCGCTAGCAAGTAAATTTTACCGGACTTTGAGTTCGTCTCACGATAGAACGACACAAGTACACAAGGAAATTTTTACAGTAACTTTATGACCATCCTTTTGTCTTTTAAAAGCTAGAAGCCCAGTAGATTATGTCATATTGGTCATTGTTAAAACTGTCTTTGTTTTGATGCTACTCTTCGACATAGAAAAAGTATGTCGGGCAAAAATATTCACCAAAAAATAAATATTTCTTTGCCAGCTTCAATAATGACAGGGGATTAAGTTTAGATGATAAAACAAAGGATTATGTTGACAGAAATACCGGAGGTCAAGTAAATTCGTTACATGAGGTCACACAACTCGGGTAATATTCACGATGAAAATTTGCATATTTGAGCGGTCGAACGAAAAAAATTATTTCTCGAAAACTAAAATATATTTTCACCAAAAAACTACACCACAATTATTAGGACATGTTGGGCTACAAAATATGAAAGTAGAGGAGAAAACGAATTTTGGGCGACTTGCCACAATATTTAAATTTGTTCGATGGATGCTGACATCCTCTCTTAAAAGCATTCTACTACAATTCCTTTCTGTCTAGATGAGCATTCACCTTCCATCCTCCCTCTCTGAAGTTTCTCAAGTAATTCGTCGAGTTCGACTTCAACAGTGGAAACAGGGGGAGGTGAACTACCTGAGAGAAGAAGTAAACAGTAATATGGTTTATTACTACTTTACTAAAATTATTTTCTGTCTAAATGTGCATTCAGAACTACATTTAACAATTGGTGTCTCACCTGATATAAAAAGTTTAAGCATACTAACATGTATCAAGGTCAAGTGAAAGAACAATGGTGCTAGTTTTCCATTATATCATTGTGAAATAACCTATCCATAGGTAATATTTCAATGTCACATGTTCAGACAATTTAATACTTAAGCTACCTTTGACTGAAGTCAAAGGTAGTAAAATTACTAATAATAGCTTACTAGTATTGTTTAGAGGCAAAACTGAATTGAAAATATGTTCCTTAATAAAACTAAGAATAAAAGCTGAGAGTATTTAACAGTATTCTTGGATGAAAGTAAGGACAGAAAAGGTTAATACCTCAGATAGGGAATAACTTCTCTTGAGAGAAATTATTGGGAAAATATGAAAACATTTAATTGCTAGTTACATGGCTAAAATATTTACAAAAGTAAAAACCAAACATTTTCTACACTAGGTCATCATCACTCTGATGATGACCTAATGTCAAAAATGTTTGGTTTTTACTTTTTTGATATTTTAGCTCATTTTTAAACTTAAGCAAACTTTATGGACAGTTATTAGCATTCTTGGATCAGTTTCTCCCTACAATTCATAAGATATGAATTTTCTGCTCACCTTCCATTCTCAGCATCTTAATTTCCTCACCTACTTTTGCTAGTTTTTCTTCAAGATCAGTGGTGGAGAGAAGAGGGGGAGGTGAAGAACCTGGGAGCAAAGGTATACAGAGATTTTCAAAATTCAGTCTCTTACTTTACACAGAAAAGATAACAACAGTTATCAAATTATAGTCATGTTAAAGTAAATCAGTGTTAGTTCTTCATCATAACAGCAATGATTATTGTTGAAAACAACTATTATGTATTTTTACCACATGCCAACTCATTACCACCTTTAGCTAAAGTAGAGAATGAGACAAAGCCAAATTTGGATTAATCTACAGTTGAATCTTGCCCTGCAGACAAATTGCTATTACAGACATTGAAGTTGTCTATTATGGACAAGAGCCAGTCCCTGGGGAAACACATAAAGAAATGACTGAAATAAACTCCCTTTATTACAGACTCTTGCTATTACAGAAATGCAGGCATTTTCCAGCCCCCCAGTATGACATTTCACTTGTTTTTTCTCTTGCTATAGCAGACACTGAAACACTTCCTCCAAAATCCTGACTCACGTAATATAGAACATTATGATAAAGGAAAATGAAGAAACCATTCTTCAATTAGGTGCAAACATGAGAATTTCCTGCTTGCAGCCAGATCTTTTTGCAGTTCATGAGGCCTTATTAGAAACTTTATGTTTGTGTGGTTACATATTATTTCATACGTTTAGGTAGAAGACATTTTTTTTATTTCTCTCATACCCCATCATTACAGACTCTCACTATTACGGACACTAAGTGTCCAAAGTAGCAGGAGTTCAGACTGCACTTGGAAAAGTAACAACTGACATAATCGCTAAAAGAATTGAAGGGCATTCTATTCATTACCTAAAAATTTTAATTTTGACTTATCATTAGCTTCAGGATATCTTTTCACTCACCTTTCTTTTCCTGAAATTTCCCAGTCTTGTGTCTTACTTCCCATTTTTTTTGGTGACCAGCAGTGAACGGTACATTGGAGGGTGAAGTACCTAAGGGGAAAAGTACAAATATATGAGTTGATTTCTGATTTTCCATCATTTAACCATTCAATTAGCACTTCATTTAGTTTGTTCCATTTAGTTCTGTACAAGAGATTTAATTACTCAACAATTCACCTTTCTGCTTGAAGGACACTTAACAGACTTTTGTGCAAAAAGCTGTTAGGCAAACAGTCGAAACGATTTCCTTCTGGTAAATTGATTTCTACTTGACACTCAGGGCATCAGAATTTCCCTTGTCTCTGGCTCACTGTTGCATGTCTTTCTAAACACTCACAGCAAAATGTATGATGACATGATATAATTTTGGGCTCAGTGTAGGTATCGAGACAAATTGAGCAAGTAACTTGTTTCTTGAGATTCGTACATAGCTCTTCTAGTTTTTCTTCAGGATCAGAGGTGGAAGATCTGTGAAGAGGCAACATCCCTAAAAACAAAGGTATAGAGAGAGATACTAGTATTCCTACTGATAAATAGTTAGAAACAGGCATACCAACTTGAGGCTAAGGATAGATTTGAAAAAGCTGTTGAAAACATTGATTTGATATACATATATATATCCTATGTGTATGTATATCATTTTCATTCCACAAACCAACTCAAATTCCCTTCAGGTTAATAGAAGTAGAGAAAGAGGCACGATTGTATTTGAAATAATTTATATTACTTTACATTATTTACAGCAATATTAGTATTCATGGTGTGACTTTTATCTGAGAGATGATAACACAATAAACCAACATGTGACAATCTGTATAAAGTGCATGAAATTTATCTAAAATACATCATAAATGTCAGTTTTTAATACATAATTAATGACTAAGGTTGGAAAAACCTTTATTATTGAAGAAATGTAAAATGGTTTCCGTGTTTACATAGCCTGATGTAAACACGCAGGAGGTTGGGAGAGCACGAGATAAGTGTAGGAAACCACAGCGCAAAGTGGAGTGGTTTCCAGCTTATCGAGTGTTCTCCCGACCTCCCAAGTGTTTACATCAGGCTATGTAAACACAGAAACCATTTTACATTTCTTTGATAAAATAACTAATGAAAGAGCCTCTTCTTACAACGAAGGAAAGCGATGTGCTTGTTGTTGTTGTTCGTTTGGCTTTTTGGCCGTTTCTTGAATACTGGGAAAATTAAACTCCAAAGAAAAATTAGAAAAATCTTCTTCTTTCATTACTGTACTCAAACAAACTTAAAGAAACTGAGTTACTGCTTAATAAATAGCAGGGAGAACTCCGCGAGAAGATTCAGTATGAAAACCGTGTTTACATACGCTCATGTAAAATGGTTTCATGGCCAATCAGAGCGCACGTAATATTTGAATTATTTTATAAACTATTATAATACTTTTATTATAATGATTATGATTTTATTATAATTAACACTGTTTCATCACCCCTAGCCACTACCATCTTAACATTCCCTTAGGAAAAACTAAATTGAGTTTTAATTTCTTCAGAACTAATTTTTTAATGAGAACTGAAAGTATTTCAAATAACTGTCAGTTTAGTTTTACCCTACAGACCCTAGCAACCTTAAATGTTTAATCACTTCTTTACACTTGACATAATAGCTGAACACACTGTGAAGTGAGGGGTGAAGTATCTAAGAGCAAAAAGTACAGGGAGAGATTAGTATTCACAGCCTCTCTACAGATACGCTGTTAGTTGTTCCCCATAAGTTGTACTCTTAAAATAATACTAATGCCACATTACTGCATTGAGATCATTCTTCAAAGTTTTGTCAAATAACAAATAGTTATTACTGTTCACAAAAACTTTCCATAATAACTTAATACATCTTTTAATTTTGTTTTCACCTTTCAGTTTCTCTGTTTCAACAATCTTTGTCTTCTGTTTCCATTTTTTCAGCTCTTCTTGATTTTGTGGACTTTCACTGGTTGAACTTATGGAGTGGAATTCAGAACATGAGGCACCTAAAATCAGATTTACAAGAAGACAAATAATGAGGCAATCACTAAATACTGACATTCAAAACCATACGACACACCTCAAATCATTTTTATAAAAACCCCACACACAAATACAGGTAACATTTTCTTTTATAGCTCCTCCAAATAAAATCTTGCCAATTTTTATTTTAGCTTGTTTTATTTTTTTTATATTTGGAGCCAAAGATAAATAAAACCAGACAGAAAGGAAAATATACGAGGAAATTTCTTGAAAACAAATCACTTCTAGTGGCAGATTGTCATTGTATACATAGTCAGCATGAGATTAGTCATGAAACAATTGGTTCAAAACCTGGAACCACCTCTACACCTCTGTTAGCTCTATGGTGCACCATGTTAAATGAGTGATGTGCTGTGTTTTTAATCATTTCAAAACATTTTTTCAAAGAACCAGGCCTTTTTCTTTCTTTCAACTGACCTCTGAGTGCATCCTTCTCAAGAAAGTACAGTTTGTATGCATTGTACTCTTCTATGTCCATTGTTGTTTTCAGCTTCAGTTCTGCCAGGTTAAGTTCCTTCAAGATCTTTTCAGTAACAAAACAATCTTGAACCATCTTACCCAAAGGCTGCATGAGTACTCTCTCCATAATTCCTCCAAGCTCTTGAGAGAATCACACTTTACTGTTATCACCAAACTTCCTACAGAACCACTTGTAATGAGTACCTTAGTTTTTTCTAAGAATTCCAGAAACTCATTGCATTCATCCCTGTTTTGTGGTGGTGAAGTATCAAAGTAATTCATAGCAATTAAGCACAGGACTTTCTATTCGAGTGGTTGGAGATCTTCTAAATCTTTATCAGATTGTCTTTTTCTCTTTGCACCCAAAGCTATGGATGCCTTCTGATATCCTGCTGGCTCTAGCACTGAAGCTGAAGCTGAAGCTGAAGCTGTACCGTAAGCATTATGATCTCCAAGTTTCATGTGTTCCACGTCAACCTTGATTTTTAATTTTTGATCTGTTGATGTGTAGCAAAGTGTCTAAATTAAAATTGTACTTCGAATCCACTTGAACAATCAATATAACATTAAACTTTAAACATATAGGATGATAGTCTGCTTGTAGGTTCTCATTATTAGAGGGCTTCTACACCAGTGTTCCTTCTTCCAATACCTGAAATCTGGCCCACATGTAACTGAACCTTCCCCCCACCAAATAAAACATAGGTGAGGGTTCCTTTGCTTCCATTTCACCTTGGGGGTAGGGGGTTTAAAGTTAATAGTGAGTGAAGGGAAACTTTTACTGCTAGTTTATCCATACCAAAACATCTATATAAATAAATTTATCATGCAATCTAGCTGTGCTATCTTCATGTCATAGTGCCTGCATTTAGTCTTTTACATAAGGTTTCTATATTTCCACATACAGTATGTTAAAGAAACATCACCTGCACTAAAACTTGAGCAAAGATAAAATAATTGAACATACCATTTTCCACTACTTTCTCAATCAGCCCTTTAAACCTCTCACATTCTGCTTTCCAAGAGTAAACCTTCCTGTAGTTCTCACGAAGCTTCACAGCCCTGGCTTTTCTCTCTTCTGCACTTTCTTCATACATCTCTCTGATCCTTCTTGCCCATTCATCTTCATCTTCATCTGATCCAACAATGACAGTGTTTCCTCCTTCTACTTTTTCCATAGCCTCAGCGGCTCGAGATAATGTCGTGTCGTATGGCCGCTCATGTCACTTTCTGTTCATGTGGAGATTCGTGCGACTGTAAATAAATGAAAATCTTACACGAGAACAGTTAGAGAAGAAAACAATCACCAAATTGTGGTAGGCAGCTAAACATACTTATCTGTGTACAGAGAGCAAAAACCCACGAGTTTCATAGCAAAGCGCTCGGTCCCTACGTCATGACCTCGAGCCAAAATTTCCCGTCCGGCCCTCCCACTCGATCAATAAGTACATAATACGAAAAAGAGAAGACGAAAACAAAGAATTCTCAGGTGTTTCCATCTCTCTCCAAATAAGGAGTTACCTTTCGAAATTCGAAATAGATGTGTTCTGATCAGATCTTTGAATCCTGACCTTATGGTTCTGGTCAGACAAGACCTCTTCTGGGTTTATTTCTTGTTTTTCGACCTTGTCGTCTAAATGGCATTCAGCCATGGCGTATATACCTTCAATTCACTGAGAGCTAAGATATCACGGAAGTGTAGTCCATAGATCAGGGTTAGCTCTTCAGCGGCTCGAGATAATTTCATGTATACGGCCGCTCATGTCACTTCCTGTTCATGTGAGGAATCATGCGACTGAAATAAATGTAAATCTTACAGGAGAACCGTTAGAAAAGAAAACAATCACCAAATTGTGGTAGGCCGCTAAACATACTTATCTGTGTACAGAAAGAAAAAACCCAAGAGTTTCATGACAAAGCGCTCGGTCCGTACGTCATGACCTCGAGCCAAATATTTTCTCGTCCAGCCCCCCCTCGATCAATCAATAAATACAAAATACGAAAAAAGATTTGTTTCTTCACCTGTCAGGTACTTCATCATTAGTAGTGCACCTTTCCTGAGAAAAAATTCTGAATCCACTTCCTGTAAAACGTACTGATTTGAGTATGGAAACCAAGAATGAACGAGTTTCATAGAAAACGAATATGGCGAAATACGAAAAGAAAATGTTGAAAACGAAGACTTCTATACGATTGTAAGATACCTCTTCTAAGGCACAAGGGTTTCTGCACAACATCAATTTTACTACCGAGGCAGTCTAACCACGATGCCGTGGAACGGACACCAAGCAAGAACTGGACCTTTGAGAGGATCTTAGAAGCTCTCAGGTGTTTCGATCTCTCTCCAAAGAAGGAGTTACTTTTCGAAATTCGAAATAGATGTGTTCTGATCAGATCTTTGAATCCTGACCTTATAGTTCTACTCAGAAAAGAGCTCTTCTAAGTTTATTTCTTGTTTTCAGACCTTTCTTGGTAGAGTTCTTTTCCTCTCCTTCCTTGAGGTTGATTCTTTGCACAATGAAGCACAATTTGCTTCTACACATGATGACATTACTTCTCAAGTGCGCTCATTCATACCTGTATTCTTCGTGTAACGCTTTGGCAAATCTTTTCGGCAGAGTTTCTATCCTCCCTACTTGACTTTAATGTAACGCAACTATTGGATGTGTGATGTGGTGTGAGATTCTACTCGTACCAAAGTTTTATCCTGGTTGGCTTTCTGAGATACCTCCGGTACCATGCCATTGTTTGTGTGAAATGAAGCAGAGATAGAAGAACAACAGTAATACATCCAATTTGATCTCAGAAGCTATTCTGATGTCTTGACGAGACCAGAATCGTTTTTGCAATGCGCCAAAGGTTTCTGCCGCTGAATCACCTCTTCTCTCAACTTCAGGATTTGAGGAATTGACGATAGTGGCATCTTATGTATCTAACAGACTTGATGCTTTTCGGTTTTCTCCATTAATATGTCAGCTGAACGAAAGACCCTGGGACTAGATTAGTGAGACAAGTGAGACTAGTTAGACCCCGTGGGTTTTACAGACGTCCTGATTTTGAGGCATCAATTTTTAATTTGACAGAGTAACAGCAGATCGCTGGGTGATCTACAATTTTCTCAATGTTATCAGTATCAGTAGCAACCGGAACAACCAGCTGGTTAACAGGAGCTCTCCGACATGCAGGGACCGCGCAGCAAGTTTTCGAGTGGGGGGGCTAAAGAAGAATGCGTCAAGGAAAATTTTTTTGTTAAATTATTTTTTGTTTAATTTATTTTTATTCTTACAAAAAAGTGGGGGGGGGGCTAAAGCCCCCCCCAGCCCCTCCCTCCGCGCGGTCCCTGACATGTAGTCTTCTGTCTTTGATAGAGCTTTGAGCCTTAGACTTGCTGAACAGTTATCAATCTACACAAGTCTTTTGGACTGGTCATTATTCATTACCTTTAGAAGGGTTGGAAGAATTTGGTTGTGTGTCAGTAAAATTTACCTAATTCCCCTAAGGCTCTGTAATATTCTGATATACTCTCCTCCTCCCCCCCCCCCACCCCAACACACAAACATTTCATTGGTTGTCAATTCCACACTTCACACTCTGTTAGCAACGACTGATCCCCCCTCCACTCCCCCTGAAAACCATGTTATCTCCCAAAATCTTCCACCCCCAGGCGAATTAAATTTTTAATCCAAATCAAAACTTGTCATAAGTACATAGTATTAAATTTCTGCTTTAAAAGCTTTTGTTTCCACATTTAAAAATTATAAAATATATATGCAAACTATAGTTTATTCGAGAGTTGTAACTTCTAAGACAACAACTTCTCATGTAATTAATTAGAAACTTTGACATTATATCGCTACCTATTCTATAGAATAGGAAGGAAAAAAATGTCATTTTCACTTAAATATATTAAAGTGAAAAAGGGATTAAAATATCGCAAAAACTGCATAACTCATAAAGTCGTTTCCTAACAAAAGTAATTTATAGAGTATAACTTAATTCTGTTCTTGATAAAATCCTCAGCTGAGCTCGAAAAAATAACATGTTAGAGTCCAAACTTTGCCTAAATGATTTCCTAGGTCTGATAAACTAATTTGAAAGAGAATAGAATAGTTTTCATAAAACGTAAATCTGCCTCAGAGAACTGAGTAAACAACAAAGGAGAGCACTGGAAGTTTCTGGCATAAGGCCTTTCTTTCATGTACTTCGCCAAAAACCGTGGCGATGGAGGTAAATCGAGAAGAAAGCTTTACATAAGGTTGCTCATTAGAATCTCAAAAAAAGGTAGGAACTTAAAATTTTAATATTCTTTTGAGATAAGCGTTTGATTTTCCTGTCCTGGCTGTTACTATCCTTCAAGACATGCTTTAAATCTAACTTCCTGTAGCAAAAATTAAAAGTAAAAAAAAAAATACAGAGCCAGAATATATAAGTTATAACAGGAACGACTTTAAATGCATCAGACGTGTTCCCAAAATTTGAATAATAGAACAAAAATTAAGTCTTTCAACCAAGAGCTTTGAGATTACCGTTAAACAACGAAGTGTCATGATTGCAAAGGAAGGTGACGGCAAAAATTGAACGAACGACCTTGAGATACTTTAAGTTGGTACAGATACTCTGACTGATCAAAAAAACATTGCAGATAGTTTAAATCAATGTTTCGCATCGGAAAACTTGACTGAATCTTCCTAACTTCCTGAAAGTTGATAGGACAAATAATTTCGCGCAGGTTTCAAATGCACTGAAGTTAAAAATCTCCAGTTGGAATTAAATGTCTATAAAAACTGCAACCCGACGACTTTCACCCAAGAATCTTGAAATGTTGCAGTTACTCACAAGCCTCGCCCCTAAGCACTTTGTTTAATAATTCATTCAAATTTGGTATAATTCGGGGAATATGGTTGTTTGTTTATTTGTTTGTTTGATGTTTTTTGAAAATAACTCAGTGTTACTCCGCTTCGTATAAAGGGTGCCAAAATTAAAGTATACCTTTTTCCCAAGCTTCTGTTGTCAGTAAATTTGCGTGAAGATTGAAAGGAAGTCCAAGTCTAAGCCCAAGCAGTTGGTTTCATGGAAGAGCGTTCTTGCCATCCGAAATTACTCGACACTTACCCACAAAGAGCCCTGAACAAGGCTCTTGCGCAAGCCATTTAGAGTTCTACTTTCACTATGGAGTTACTTCTATTTATTCTGGACCAAATACAAACGGGAAAAGAACCTTCGTGTCCAAATAAAACGGGTACGTGTGTTTTAGCCCGTGTTTCCTTCATTAAGGCTCTATTGACGGATTCAGTAAAAGATATCGTAAAGAAACAAAACCACATTTATTAAATTTAACTGCAGTCCTTTCACATATTCAATGTCCTTGGTTAATATACTTCGCAGTTCCGTGTGGTCCTTTAAAAAATGTCAAATATATATGTAAAATATGATTTCTACTGAGAGTTGAGAACTTTAGAACAATAACTTAAATATTATCGATTAGATTACGTCTACATTACATTCTGAACTATTCCGGTAAATTGAAAAAGGGATTATACATTAATAAGACTACGTAACCCGTCCTGAAACAATTTCCTACCATTCGTATGTAATTTAAGAGTATTACAAAACTCCGCTCTTCATAAAATCATCAACTAGGATGAAAAAATTACGAGTTAGAGAAAAAGCTTCGCGTAAATGAATTACGAGGTAAAGTCCAAATAAACTCATTTGAACGAGAATACAATCGGTTTTACAACGCCTACATTTAGCTTCGAAAATGAACAAGGCAGAAAAAAACATTCCAAATATTTAAATGAAGCTTAAACATTATACTCTTGGAGTCTACTAACAAAAAATATGAAAGCCTAAAAAAAATCGAGAAAATATGTTGTTATTTTATTCATACGTCACTAATTCATGTAGTCTTTTCAAAGTTTTCTTTTAGTAGACAACGATATTCTTTAGATAGGTTATCAAAATATCATTCAATATTCTTGGCATCTTATTACAGCTTTATCACCCGTATAACCAATTGCCTGTAGCTCAAAACATTTTTTACAAAATTTTGACATTGTTACCAACAGATCTGTTATACGAAATTACAGTTGCATTAATAGTCTAATTTTTAAACAGTGAAATTCGTCTATCCAACAATGAACGTTTAATAATCATTTGTGTCATGATACCGAGTCTTTCCTTGATTCTTGATCGCGATGTTTCGACTGCCTCACTGCTGGTCAATTTTAATACTCTGTTCAACAAGTGATAGTGACTAGAAGGTCAGTCATCGAATTAATCACCTTGAACAATAATCTTTAAGTTGTCATTTATAAAAATGGAATTTATTTCATGACAAGCGAAACATAACAGGAGGAACCTGTCACGGCTCTGTGTCACTGACTTGTTCCTTGGTCTCCTTTGTAGTCGAACGGGAAAGTCGTAGAGCTCCTTCATCTTCCCAGTCAGTACCAGTTAACATTTGAGACAAATATTTTTTTCCATCATCTGTTACATACGAATTTGCCCGGAGGTTTAAGCTCCGTAGTTTGCATTTGGTATCAGTCAAGGCCCTACACAAGTGCTTGATTCCTTCATCTCCAAATTCATTGCCGCGTATGTCTAAACTTGTTAATGTACAGAATCCTTTGGTTAAAACTTCGGACAATTCTTTTATTCCTCCATCTCCTAATCTATTAAAACCGACTATTAACTTGGTTAAAGCACAGTTACTGCTGGTCAATGCATCACACAAGTGTTTCAATCCGTTGTCTCCCAACTGATTGCTACTGACATTTAAGTTTGTTAATCTGCAGTTAACGCTGGTAAGCGCGTTACACAGGTGTTCTAATCCTTGACTTTGTAAACCAATGTCATACAGTGTCAAGCTGTAAAGTTCACTCTGAGTAAGCGCTGTACACAAGTTCTTCAAACCTTCATCAGGTATCCGACTCCTTGAGAGAATTAATCTGGTTACTTTCCAGTCCTTGTTGGTGATCGCTTTACACAGTGTTACCAAACTAGGGTCGTAATGTGTTGGCCACCCATTCAATATGCCTGACGTCGAACTGTATATCACTTCATTAGATACCTCCTCGTCCTCGTCCTTGAAAAGAATTATACCACACCAGTCCCATGGTAGTTTATATTTAGGGAGCTCATCCGTAAACAGCAGCACCACTTGCCATGCACCTTCTCTGATGTGAATAGTAAGGAATGTTTTCAATTCGCCTTTATCCATTGCTTCTCGTAATTCCTCTAAGGCACGAGGTGGTTGGAGTACTAAAGGATTAAAACAAAAGAAATATTAATTTTTACTTGAAAACATTAGCGAAAAACACCATTGCTTTAGTCTAAAAACTGACAAAGCACAGAAAATACCTCAGCAAATTGGACACAAAAATAATTTTGAGTCTCCGTGCTTCGACTTATTGTTGAATCATCCCAAGTCAAAGGAAACCAGTTGGTAAAACAAGGAGACGGGCAGTATGAACAATAAATGTCTTTTTCTTTTCTAAGAAGTCTTAAAATGTCAGCAATCCTTTGCGAAGTTGTAAATCATTGTCATAAAGTTTTATTCTAATATTATCTTTTCCTCAACTAGTAATCTAAAACTCTACAGTCTGCGAGAGAAGTTGCTGGTTTTTTTTTTCCAAATCTGGTTTTAAAGTTTCAGAACATTTCCAAGAACACAAGAGAAAAAAATTGTTTTCACTTTACAAACATAACAACGAACTATTCGTGTTGATGAATTGAAAGAGACGTCTTTTTCTTGGTAATACGATCATAAAGTACTAAAGTTACACCACATAAGCGACCAGCTTTAACATCAGAATTCTATGCACTTATGGACTGAGTAGAAGGGTCATGTCGGTCCGGCCTAATCTTACTCAGTCAATCAGATTTTTATTCCATGAACGCCACTCTTCTCATTCTACTTTCTTCTCGCATGGATGCACGCTTGGCCCTGCAGCTTTAAATGCCCCTGCCAGCGCAACCGCCCACGGCCTTCATAGAGGGGTTTATTTGTAAATCTTTTTTTTTTCTTATTAAGAACGGGCATTAGACCGCGCAGGTCATTTGATGACTATATAAAGACACCAGGTCTACTAAGAATGAAAAAAACCTAACACAAGATCACAAATCTGGGTTTAAAAAAAAAATCTCTGGACTATTACATAAACCCAGTATTTCTCAATAATCTTACGACCGAATATGAATAACTGGACATATATTTCAAAGCCAATACAATCTTATTTTAACAATGTTAAGTACCTTGCTTACGTAAGTGAAGTTTGGCTGACTCATCTAATAAGTAACTGACATAGTTCTGGAGTTCCTCGGGTAAACTGACATCAAACTTCGCCAGTCCTGATCTGATGGTCAGATACATGGCGTTCTCCAATGCTATCATGAAGGACACAAAAAGACATAAAACTAGTTTAGTACTTAAGGTCACATTCTCTGTTCAGAGAATTTATTAAAATGAGGAACTACTTAAAAGACAACGTAAGAGTCAATGTCATCAACTGCGAAAGATCACGGACAAGCTTGGGTTCAAATTTACATTTGCCATTCAAAGATACCGCCAACATGTCTTGTCAATCATTTCTGACATGGAACATTAATACAAAAGTTTCTTAACGCACGAGCTTCATGAGGGCCTCAATGGGGTGATGGCTTTTACGGCTAACGGCTAAAATTTTGGCCATATTAGGGCTAACTTTTTCTTGTTCAGGAGTTTAAAAGAAAAATTTCCTTGGTTAACCCTTTGTAATCTAACGTTAAGGATCTTAGAATTCACATCACATCAAATCTATCACGGAGCCTGAAAACAAGGCAAATAGTGTACTCCGATTTATAGGTCGAACAAAGGGCCCCAGGAACCCAGAATTGTTCTCGAAATTGTACACGAGTTTAGTACGTCCAATACTTCAGTACTGCTCTCCAGTGTGGTCTCCACACCTCAAAAAGGATTCGGTTATTTTAGAGAAAGTACAACGCAGAACACCTAGCTATGCAATCAGAAACATTGGCCAAGATATGTCTTATGAAGAGCGCTTAAAGGTCCTTAAATGGCCAACTCTACATCAGAGAAGATTATTTTCTTCGCTTACCGAGTGCTATAAGACGGCTAACAGTCTTAACGGGCTACACCCATTTGAGTATTTTACATTCGCACATGATTTTCGACCATTAAGAACCAACCATTACCATAAACTTAAATCATTGCCCGCAAAGATAAACAGTTTTAAGTATTCTTTCTGTGCAAATATAGTCAATGAATGGAATAATTTACCTAAAATGTTGCAAAGGCAAAAACTCTGAACATTTTCAAGAACAGACTCAGATGCCATTTTACTAATGTTTTAGGAAATTTTGAACTATTTTACTGTGATTTTTAATTATTTTAGGAGACAAACTTGAAAGGGGTAACCTTTTTTGTTTCCTTTTTACCTTTCATTAAAATTTGAATAAAAAGTTATGTTATGTTAAGACTAACGGTTGAAATTCGTCAATTTTTACGACTAACAGCAAAATGTTTTTGCTATATTACGGTTAACGGCTAGCCCCATTGAAACCCTCCTGCATGTACTACAGTTCACTCACATGCATTAGTGCTACATGCACTATTGAAGCAGCAATATGGGAATGCTAATAACCTCTGGTAGCGCGATGTGGTCATCGTAACTCTGAGATGGCTTACACAAACGCTCCTCAACGTTCGACATACAAACTCAATTTACAAACTGCATGTGTACATCTTGTTCTAAATTAGAGCACAATTTGACGCTTGCCGGGCCTTAACACATCAAGGTTGTAAATGGATACGATTAAAAATGCCTAAGCACTCGGATAAAATGCTAGACTTGTATCCAAGATTCACGACAGTACCGCGCACTTGATGCGCGTGCAAATCCCGTGCACTGCAAGCACGCACCACGAAACTACGCATAACATGAAACAGTTCCTGTAATTTTGCATATGTACCAAAATTTGAAAGTTTCCAGGACCAGAATGAGCTTATCCTAAGAAGCCAGATATTTTTTTTTTAACATGCACTACGAAGAAATTCATTTTTCCCTGGTATTTTGTTTCTTTTCTTCTACAATTTTTATTTTCTAGTGCAATGGGAGGTTTTATCCTTACTACATGACGGCTGATGGCTGGGTTGCCAGGATTTACCACTCGTGAAAACAGTCTCCATCTAAGTGCTGGGTGCCAATGTAGTAACGTAACTTATATCTTAGGCCTCCAATGAGCTTTGCAGTTGTAAACAATTACTGCAGAAAAAGACTGCATGTGCAGGAGTTCCGTGGAAAAAGATACTTCGATAAAGAAGTGGAAGCGTTTAATAGCATTCTACTAAAATTGTTTTTTCTCTAAATGTGTATTATTTATTCACCTTCCATCTTGACTTTCTCAAGTTCCTTGCGTAGTGTATGTACTGTATGAAAGGTGGAAAAAAGGGAACGTGAACTACCTGAGAGAAGAAGTAAACAGCAAAATGGTTAAAGAATTTTTAAACACCATTCTTGATTGATAACATTGTGTAAGAAGAGGGGTTATCTTAAATATAGAGAAAATACACTATCCAATGCTTCAACACGTAATGAGCAGCGCAGATGTTTTGCAAGTTGCATGCAGGGCTTAGGTATTGGAGAGAAAATAACAGGAGTCCTTTATAACAAACTAAAAGAAAGTGTGTGTCACCTTTCAGCTTGTTACTTAAAAAAACCAAGCCTGAAATACTAGTGCAATTTTTTCCTTACATTACTGTCCATATTTCTTTTGCCCTTTTCAACAGAGTTAATACGCATGTTTCACTCACCTTCCTCTCTTTCTCTTTGTTCAAGTATCCTAATAAGATGTTGTAGTTCATCTTCAAGATCAGCAGTAAAGAGTTCAGGGGGAGGCAAAGTACCTGAAAGGAAAGGTAAACAGAGAGATACACTGTATTTAGCATTCAGTGCCTTACCTCGCATAAATGGTTAAAAACAGGCATTTAACAAACACTTCACATTGTACTAGGCTCATGTGAAGAACTGAAAGTATTAGATAACTATCTCACTTAATAATTATAAAGGAAGAGGGATCATCTTTACTAAGGAATAGTTTCCCTTGAAAATTTATAATTTGAATAAGGAGTGGAAGCATTCATCAATAGTAATAAAATCAGATAACAGATTATTTTAAATAAGGAATAATTTTCCTTCAAAAGTGATAATTGGATACGGGGGTGGAAGCCTTTAACGGCATTCTTGGATTTATTTCTCTCTGATAATGAATCAATAAACATTTTATATTCACCTTCCATTCTGAGCCTCTGAAGCTCCATGCCTAGTTCAGCTAGTTTTTTCTTAAGATCAATGGTTGAAAATTCAAGGACAGAAAAACCACCTGAGAACAAAGGTACACAGAAATATATTTAGCACTAAGTGCCTCACCTGATATAAAAAGTTAAAGCATGATAACATGTATCGAGGTCAAGTGAAAGAACAATGATGCAAGTTTTCCATTATATCATTGTGAGATAACCTATCTATAAGTAATATTTCATTATCACATGCCACAGCCAATTTAATACTACCTTTAACTGAAGTTGTGGATTAAGAGACAAAACTGAATTGAAAATATTTTCCTTAACAAAACTAAGTTACTGAATAACAGCTGAGAGCATTTCACAGCATTCTTGGATGAAAGTAAAGGAAGAAAAACGTTAATATCTCAGATAGGGAATAATTTTTCTTAAAGTGTTACTGGAAAAATATGAATTCATTTCATAGCACTGAGTTATTTACATGGCTAAAATATTTTAAAAAATTTAAAAGCAAACATTTTCCACACTAGGTCATCATCACCCTGATGATGACCTGGTTTTGAAAATGTTTGGTTTTTACCTATTCAATATTTTAGCTTATTTTTTAAACCTAAGCAAACTTTATGAACAGTTATCAGCATTCTTGTACCAGTTTCTCTCTAAAAATGACGAGATATGAATTTTTCTATTCACCTTTCATTCTCAGCATCCGAATTTCCTCAAATACTTGCTCTAGCTTTTCCTTAAGATCAGTGACGGGAAGAGATGAAGAACCTGAGAGCAAAGGTATACAGAGCTTTTCAAAATTCAGTGTCTGACTTTACACAGAAAAGATAACAACAGATATACTTGTGCAAACAGGAAATTATAGTCATGTTGAAGTAAAACAGTGTTAGATCTTCATTATAACTCCATGATCATCGTCGAAAACAACTATTATGTCTTTTTACTACATGCCGACTCAATACCATCTTAAGCTAAAGTAGAGAATGAAACAATGCCAAATTTGAATTAATCTACAATTGACTCTCGCCCTGCGTACCCCTCACTATTACAGACACCTCGCCACTGCAAACAAGAGCCAGCCCCTAGGGAAAAGCATGAAGAAACGAAATAAATTCCCTTTAAAATGGACTCTTCCTTTTACCGAAATGTAGACACTTGCAAGCACCCCAGCACGACGTTTCTCTTGTTTTTTCTCTCGCTATAACAGACAATTCATGCTTCATCCAAAATCCTGACAAACATACTATAAAGCGACATTATGAAAAAGAAAAATAAAGAAACCATTCTTTAAAAGGGTGTGAACATGAGAATTTCCTGCTTGCGGCCCAATATTTTTCTCGTTGGTGAGGCCACGTCAGAAACTTTACAGACTCTTCGCTATTACAGACGCTAAATCTCCCCGCTAGGGTGTCCGTAGTAATGGGAGTCAACCCTAAGGGGTAAGGTACAAAGTGCAACTCATGGTGTTACTTTTAGTAGTGGTATGATAACAGGTCAAACCAACATGCGATTAACTGATTGTATACGATGTACAAAATCAATCTAAACTACATAATTTTCAGTTGTTTTAGACGTAATTTAAGATCAACACCGAAAAAACTTAGTTTATCATTATATACTGTTTCACCATCCTCAGCCTCTACCATCTTAATATCCCCTTCTAGCAAAACACAGAGTGAGGGAAAACTAAATTGGGTGAAATTTCCTTTCAAAAAATATTTTGAATGAGAACTACATGTATTTAAAAGCATTCTTGGTTTAGTTTTACCATGAAATTTAATTTAACAGCATATTTTTATTCACCTTTCATTATTTGAAGTTTCATAAGTAGCTCTTCTAGTTTTTCTTGAAGATCAAAGATGGAAGATCCAGGAAGAGGCAACATGCCTATAAACAAAGGTATGTAGAGAGATATTACCATTTCTACTAATTAATAGTTGGGAAAAGGCATACCAACTTGCATTTAAAGATACTACTAGGTACAAGTACACTGTAGATTACCTTTATTTAAAAACAGAAGCTTTAAAACCGAAAGAAAAAACTATTGAGAACAACTGAAAAAGTAATCACTCTACATGTATGTAACGTTTTCTTAATTTATTGCAAGGAAACTCGGCACTACCTTTAACTAGAGAAGAGAGTGAGGCAGAAACACATTTCAAATAATTTACATTGACAAGTATCATTTTTCATAATTGCTGACAGAAGAATTCTTGCTTATTAACAACATTAATTTCTATTGTAAAAGATGACTAAAACCACATTCACGTTCTTTTTTCATTTCTCATTTTTTTTCCTGAAGTTTCATGGCTTCACTCCTACAACTTTTTAAGCCAATTTACACACGGATGAATTCTTTCACTTCTTCAATGTCAATGCATCAGTACAACAAGTCAGTGATTTGCAACGTTGTTTTCTTTTTTATCTTGGAGCATGTCAGGGGGATCTGAACCCAAACTGGAACCCATGTTAGACTTCAACACGTCAGCAAAACAACTGAAAGTAGTAAGCCCCACATCTTTTTATCCATTTCAAGGTGGTTTGATATCAGTTTTAAGGGTAGATCAACTAAATCCACTTAAAAGCGGGTACTTTTCCTAATAACAAAGGGAAAAACTTAACAAACATGAAGAAAATTAAATAGTTGATAACTTGCAATACAATACAACTTTTTACTTGGCTTACTGGTAGTAGCTGAACATAATGAGCAACATGTTTCAATGACATTAACTTCAAAAATAAGTTCAAACTGAGCATCCTGTTCACCTTTCCTTCTCCACCGTTCTTCTGGTTCTTTTCCATGACCAGTGGTCGGTACCACAATGAGGGGTAAAGTACCTAAGGGCAAAAATGCAGAGAGAGATTAGCATTCACAGCTTCTCTACAAATGTTTTGTTCTCATAACTGGAACTGTGTACAATTATATTAATTAATTGATGCCACATCATTGCACTAAGATAATTCTTCAAGTACTTATAACAAAACCGTTATTACTGTTCACAACAGTTTTTCATTTAACTCAATACAAGTTTTTTGAATTTCCTTTTCACCTTCCAATTTCGCTGTCTCCATAATCTTTGTCTTCTGCTCACTTTTTTCCCATTGTTCTTTTTTTTGTGGACTTTCACTGGTTGAACTTGTGGAGCGGAATACAGAGGATGAAGCAGCTACAATCCGATTTACAAGAGGACAAACATTTTTAACCATAAGGTATGTAGAGAGATATTACCATTTCTACTAATTAATAGTTGGGAAAAGGCATACTAACTTGCATTTAAAGATACTAGTAGGTACATGTACACTGTAGATTACCTTCATTTAAAAACAGAAGCTTTAAAACCGAAAGAAAAAACTATTGAGAACAACTGAAAAAGTAATCACTCTACATGTATGTAACGTTTTCTTAATTTATTGCAAGGAAACTCGGCACTACCTTTAACTAGAGAAGAGAATGAGGCAGAAACACATTTCAAATAATTTACATTGACAAGTATCATTTTTCATAATTGCTGACAGAAGAATTCTTGCTTATTAACAACATTAATTTCTATTGTAAAAGATGACTAAAACCACATTCACGTTCTTTTTTCATTTCTCATTTTTTTTCCTGAAGTTTCATGGCTTCACTCCTACAACTTTTTAAGCCAATTTACACACGGATGAATTCTTTCACTTCTTCAATGTCAATGCATCAGTACAACAAGTCAGTGATTTGCTATGTTGTTTTCTTTTTTATCTTGGAGCATGTCAGGGGGATCTGAACCCAAACTGGAACCCATGTTAGACTTCAACACGTCAGCAAAACAACTGAAAGTAGTAAGCCCCACATCTTTTTATCCATTTCAAGGTGGTTTGATATCAGTTTTAAGGGTAGATCAACTAAATCCACTTAAAAGCGGGTACTTTTCCTAATAACAAAGGGAAAAACTTAACAAACATGAAGAAAATTAAATAGTTGATAACTTGCAATACAATACAACTTTTTACTTGGCTTACTGGTAGTAGCTGAACATAATGAGCAACATGTTTCAATGACATTAACTTCAAAAATAAGTTCAAACTGAGCATCCTGTTCACCTTTCCTTCTCCAACGTTCTTCTGGTTCTTTTCCATGACCAGTGGTCGGTACCACAATGAGGGGTAAAGTACCTAAGGGCAAAAATGCAGAGAGAGATTAGCATTCACAGCTTCTCTACAAATGTTTTGTTCTCATAACTGGAACTGTGTACAATTATATTAATTAATTGATGCCACATCATTGCACTAAGATAATTCTTCAAGTATTTATAACAAAACCGTTATTACTGTTCACAACAGTTTTTCATTTAACTCAATACAAGTTTTTTGAATTTCCTTTTCACCTTCCAATTTCGCTGTCTCCATAATCTTTGTCTTCTGTTCACTTTTTTCCCATTGTTCTTTTTTTTGTGGACTTTCACTGGTTGAACTTGTGGAGCGGAATAAAGAGAATGAAGCAGCTAAAATCCGATCTACAAGAGGACAAACATTTTTAACCATAAGGTATGTAGAGAGATATTACCATTTCTACTAATTAATAGTTGGGAAAAGGCATACTAACTTGCATTTAAAGATACTACTAGGTACATGTACACTGTAGATTACCTTCACGTAAAATGTATCTGCTGTTGGAAGGTACGCTGCCACCTGAAAAACATTGAGTAACACATGATCACAGGATTCTCTTCATACTACCCACAGGTATGGCCAGCGATAGTATAAGGTAAAGTTAATAACATCAGGTAGCACATGTGATTATTGTAACTCTATGGTAGCTTCCACAAAGGCTCTTCAACGTTCAATTAACAAAATCCAAGTTAAAAACTGCATGTGAACACTGTGTTCTGCCTTTGACCTGGACAATAAAGTTTGCAGTGCCTTAACAAACTGAAGGGTGTAAATGGATACAATTAAAAACGCCTTGGCAATCTGATAAAATGCCGGAGTAGTATCCACTACAATACTGTGCACTTGACACTTGCGCAGATCTAAACCACTGCACGCGCGCACCACGCAAACTGTGCATAACATGAAACAGTACCTGTAATTTTGCATGTGTACCAAAATTTGAAAGTTTCCAGGACCAGAATGAGCTTATCCTAAGAAGCCAGATATTTTTTTTTAACATGCACTACGAAGAAATTCACTTTTCCCTGGTATTTTGTTTCTCTTCTTCTACAATTTTTATTTTCTAGTGCAATAGGAGGTTTTCTCCTTACTACATGACGGCTGATGGCTGGGTTGCCAGGATTTACCACTCGTGAAAACAGTCTCCATCTAAGTGCTGGGTACCAATGGAGGAACATAACTGATGTATAAGGCCCCCAATGAGCATAGCAATTGTTAATAATTACTGCAGTAGAAGGCTGCATATGCAGGAGTTCTGTGGAAAAAATTTAACAGTACCGCTTGCGTATATGTTAACTGCGCAGACGAATTATGTACGCTCAGACTCAGACGCGCATATACGATTGTTTTGCGCGCACGGTCGAAAAAATGCACGACTCATGTGCCTTTGTTATTCAGTGCTATAAATTTCCTTTGTATTTTATCGTTGTGTAAAACAAAGAACTTTTAGGTTTGAAAATGCGACGAGTCGACAACGGAAAACTTACGTAACGAAAAAAGCTGTGATGTTACACTGACGCATGTCGCATCGGTTCGCGAATTTATCAAAGCAAATACTCACTACTATTGCTTCCCAATTTTTCATTGCGATTAGCGTTCCCTTGAATGTTTACGCAGCGGAATGTAAACTATTTGGTGTTCGCATCGCTGGTGATGATTTCTTCGAAACTTCGAACTTTAATACCTCAACCACCTTCGATGAGGATCAAAAGCAATACCATTTAAGATTGTGAATGATGTTTCATTTTATTTAGTTGCAATCGGCGCTCGCTTCAGCGTTTACGCACAGAAATGTAAACGGTTTCATTTCGCATCGCACGTGATGATTTGTTTGGTTGCGGAGCGCAATATATTACAACAATGAAAGGTCAAGTTATAGTAAATCGCAATGTCAATGACGAAGATTCGAAGATAATAACATAAAATACTGGCTACTCCTGCTGAAAGCCTGGACATGAATCCTTTAAAGCTCCCCTGACACGAACTAAAAAACCTTCTCTTGCGTAGCGTTGTCAAGCCAACTAACAAGGACGAACTTGTCGCGGGCATCCATCGGTTCAGGGACTCTGGGACTGCTGCTAAGTGCTGTAAATACATTAGCCACCTCCTAAAAGTTATTTCTACTGTAGTCTAACGCGAAGGAAGAGCCTAGTAACAGCTTCCTTTGATGAAAAAACGGCTCCTTTAGGAGCCACCAATTTTCCAAAAGTCCTGGATTACCGTGTTGACAGACATAAGTATCGCTGTTTTGATGTTTTGTCCAATTGCACTCGTCTGCGAGTCTTATACAAACTTGAACTAAATGTATCCTGCATTTAAATTTTCCCTTCCCTTTTATGAGCAATTTGGTGAACATCGCTCGATGATTTTACAAATATTAAAACAAGAAGCAAATCCGGTTTCCAATAAAAATATGCATATGAGTAAGAACAAGACATAGTCGTGACAGGTAACCATACTGTAACACAATACGATTAAAATAAACTAGTAGAACTTATAAGTTTTTGAATAAATGGCGCGATGACTAAACCAGTTTTCGAGAATAGCATGTTCACCGATGATAAAGCTATGAAATAAACATTCACGCGTGGGTTTGCATTGCTGGTAACAAACAGACGCTTTAGCTGATTCTACGGAATTACAATACACTGAGAACGAATTCTGAAGCCGTTGTGACGGATGTTTTTTTAATACGAAGTGACAAATTTTGATAACAGAATTTCATTGAAAAATGATAAATCATTCACATATTCCGATTACGAAGTCGCAGTAGTTTGTAACAGCATATCGGGAAGGTCGGTTAGAACGGTGATTGAAACGAACAAGTTTTCTTGTCGTTGGTAGCAGTGTAGTATTTAAATCCTGTTACATTGTAGCCAAAAATAGCATGAAATTGCGAATTTAAAAAAATATGCACGTCAAAAAATCGCACGTGCGCGCATAAGCTTGATACGTCTGCCTCTTTAGAATATATGAGGTAATCCTTTTGTTTTTCTATTCTATTATTTCTATTTTCTATTTTTTCCTATTCGTTTTTCTATTTAGCCTATTCTTTAAAACGGTAAACCGCCAACAATAGAAAAACAAAAGGATTACCTCATATCTACTAACTAGGTAAACGTATCAAGCTTATGCGCGCACGTGCGATTTTTTGACGCGCACATTTTTTTTAAATTCGCATTTGCATGCTATTTTTGGCGCGTTTTATTCGCGTTTTATGGTTAATGTCTACACGAGCGGTAATGTAATTCTACAAGGAACTGGAAATATTTTAATAGCATTCTACTACAATTATTTTCTCTCTAAATGTGCATTATTTATTCACCTTCTATCCGCCATTTCTGAAATTTCTTGAGTCGTTCGTCTAGTTCTACTTCTACTTCAATGGTGGAAAAAGTGGGAGGTAAACTACCTGAGAGAAGGAAGCAAAATGGTATAAAGCATTTAAGAGCATTCTTGGTTGATAGCATTAAACAAGAGGAGGGGTTTATCTTAAATATGGAGTAAATACAGATCATTCCATGTTTCAACATGTAATGAGTGGTGGTGATCTTTTGCAAGTTGCATGCAGGACTTAGATATTTGAGGGAAGATAATATAATTAGGAGTCCTATATGACAAAATAAAACCTTTCAGCTTGTTACTTACAAAAACAAGCCTAAAATACCAGTGCAACCATTTCCTTGCATCACTTTCCATATTTCTTTTGCCCTGTTGAATGGAGCCAATGCGCATGTTTCACTCACCTGTATCTCTTTGTCTCTCAAGTTCTGTGAGTAGTTTTTTTAGTTTTTCTTCAAGATCAGCATTTAAGAGTGCAGGGGGGAAAAAAGTACCTGATAGGAAAGGTAAACAGAAGGATACACTGTATTTAGCATTCAGCACCTTACCTTACATAAATGACTAAAAACAGGCATTCAACTAGCACTGTACATTGTGTTGGGGTCATGTAATGGCACAGTTATAGTGTCAGTTTTCTGATTAATCTCCTATGGTCATTGTTGAATTCAACCATTTCGAAAAAGTGTGTCATCATAATAAGCCACAGCCAACTTAATACTCCCTTTTGCCACAGCACAGAATAACGAAAACTAAATTAAGAAAAAACTCATATAAAAGGTAACACTTTACATAATACCTGAAAGTATAGGACAGCAATCTCGCTTAATAACTACAAAGGAAGTGGGATAATCTTTACTAGGGAATAGTTTCCCATGAAAATGTATTATTTGAATAAGGAGTGGAAGCATTCATCAATAGTAATAAAATCAGATACCAGGTTCTTTTAAATAAAGAATAATTTCCCTTGAAAAGTGATACTTCGATACAGGGATGAAAGCCTCTAATAGCATTCTTGGATTTATTTCTCTATGATAGTGAATCAATAAACATTTTGTATTCACCTTCCAGTCTCTGAAGCTCCACCCTCACATGTGCTAGTGTTCCCTCAAGATTAATGGTTGAAAATTTAAGGACAGGAAAACTACCTGAGAGCAAAGGTACACATAAATATATTTAGCACTTAGTTCCTAACCTGATATAAAAAGTAAAGGCATACTAACATGTATTGAGGTCAAGGGAGAGAACAATGAGATAAGCTATCTTTAAGTATTGCTTCATTATCACATGCCACAGCCAATTTAATACTACCTCTAACTGAAGTTATGGATTTAGAGGCAAAACTGAATTGAAAATATATTACTGACCAAAACTAGGCTACTGAATAACAGCTGAGAGCATTAAACAGTATTTATGGATGAAAATAAAGACAGGAAAAGGTTAATATATCAGAAAGGGACTAATTTATCTTAAAAATATTTACTGGAAAAAATATTAAAACATTTAATGCCACTGAGCTATTTACATGGCTAAGATATTTAGTCTTCATGGTGATGATTACCTGGTGTTGAAAATGTTTGATTTTCACTTTTTTAAAAGTAAAAGTAGATTACCTTTATTTGAACAAAAATGCTCTAAAACCGAAAAAAAACTGTTGAGAAAAACTGAAAACTGTTCAGTCTACATGTTTAAAATGTTTCGTAAATATCATCTTTAGCATGTCATCTTCAAATTCCTTTAACTAGTCGATCCGAGGGGGGTTCTTGCTAGACTTGAAGTCGTGTGTGTGTCTTCGCAGTGAGTGGCCGTATCAGGGTTGAAGAAGAAGCAAGCTTTCCAGTGCATTCTGCGAAGAAACTGCTCGATTTTTTTCGACGAAGCGTTGTGAGAAATCAGTTTGCGATGGTTCAATATACCTCTACCATCACGGAACAACTTCCTACGACGCCTCGTCGAAAGAACCTCGGCATATTTTCTGTTGTCTGTTTCTCTCAGTGTGGCAGTTGGGAAAGGAGGAAAGGCTTCCTACAAGCTCGCATGTTTCAGCACTGTCGTAGCTGCTCGTTGGGACGTCAAATGTTGTATCGACCTTCTTTTGCCAAGGTTGCTGTTTGTGCATAAGGATCGAATGTTTTGCATGTGTTACATGATGTTTCTTCGTCGTTGGTGATGTCGTAGGCTGAAGCTAAGTCGAGTACTCTGTTCAGGAGGTCTTGGCTGATGGAGGGATAGAGTTCTTCGATGTCAAAGCAAATAAAACTGTGGTGTATTTTTGTTTTTAATGGCTTTAAACCACTCGATCACAGATGCCGTCGATTCTGTCGAGGATTGTTTTGCTGATTCTGCCCATCTCGGATTTGGTGGGGTTGACTAGTCGGCAGGTCGGTTTGAAGTTCGGTTTGTGGTCTCTCAGTGTTATGAATGATACAGTACCCCTCGCGTATATGTTAACTGCGAAGACGAATTACATACGCTCAGACACACGGAAGTCAGGCGCACATATACGATTGTTTTGCGCGCACGATCGAAAAAAATGCGCAACTCATGTGCCTTTAAAATATATTAAAGTTCACACGGCAACCAGGTGGACAATCAGACATAGTTTGATGCTACTCTGGTTTGCAGATTTAATGAATGTAACCGAAGAAGTTACAATTCATAGACCCAACGTTTCGACACTCCTGTCTAGTTCCTGTCTAGGGGTGATCTAAACGCTGCAACAAGAGGTCGTTTTATATGATCACTTAATCTTAAGGTGCACACATACTCTCCCTAGCTTTTCTTCGAGATCAGTGGTGGAAAGAAGAGGAGGAGATGAAGAACCTGGGAGCAAAGGTATACAGAGCTTTTCAAAATTCAGTTGCTTACTTAACACAGAAAAGATAACAACAGGTATACCTGTGCAAACAGCAAATTATAGTCATGTTAAAGTTAAATAGTCTTAGTTCTCCATTATAACTCCAATGATCATTGTTTGAAACAACTATTATGCATGCCAACTCAATACCATCTTTAGCTAAAGTAGAGAATGAGACAATGCCAAATTTGGATTAATCTACAATTGACTCTAGCCCTGCGATCACCTCATTATTACAGACACTTTGCCACTGTAGACAAGAGCCAGCCCCTGGAGAAACACATACAGAAATGACTGAAATACATTCCCTCTATAACAGACTCTTGCTATTGCAATGATGCAGACTCTTTCCTTACCCCCAGCATGACTTTTCACTTGTTTTTTCTCTTGCTGTAACAGACACTTATTTACTTTTTCCAAAATCATGACTAGCATACTATGAACCGACATTATGAAAAAGGGAAATAAAGAAACCATTCTTCAATTGGGTGTGAACATATGAAATTTTCTGCTTACAGCCAGATCTTTTTCCGGTTTGTGGAAACTATATTTCATATGTTAAGAAACAAAACAAATGTTCATTTCTCTTGTACCCCATTATTACAAACTTTTTGCTACTACAGACACTAAATCCCCCCCTGAGGGTGTCCACAGCAATGGGAGTCAACCTTAAGGGGAAAAGTACAAAGAGGAATTCATGGTGTTACTTTTAATAGTAACATGATAACAGGTCAACCCAACATGTAATTAATAGATTGTAAACAATGTACAAAATCTACCTGTACTATATAACTGTCAGCTTTTTAAGGCATAATTGAGACCAACGTTAAAAAGACCTAGTTTATCATTATATACTGTTTCACCAACCCCAGCCAGTCTGCCATCTTAATATTCCCTTATGGTAAAACACAGAGTGAGGGAAAACTAAACTGGGTGTAATTTCCTTTAAAAAAAAAAATTTGAATGAGAAATAAATGTATTTAAAAGCATTCTTAGTTTAGTTTTACCATCAAAGTTAATTTAACAGCATCTTTTTATTCACCTTCCATTCTTTGACGTTTCAAACGTGGCTCTACTAGTTCTTCTTCAGGATCAAAGGTGGAAGATCCAGGAAGAGGCAACATGCCTAAAAGCAAAGGTATACAGTGAGAGATAGGCATTTCTACAGATAAATAGTTAGAAACAGGCGTACAACTTGTATTTAAAGATACCAGTAGGTACATGTTCACTGAAGATTGCCTTTATTTAAACAAAGATGCTTTAAACCCGAAAAAGAAGCTGTTAAAAACAACTAAAAAAGCATTCAGTCTATATGTAAGTAATGTTTCATTATTACCTGGAAACTCAACAGTACCTTTAACTAGAGAAGAGAGTGAGGCAAAAACACATTTGAAATAATTTGCATTGACAAGTATCATTTTTCATAATTGCTGACAGAAGCATTCTTGCTCATTAATAATATTAATTTCTATTTTAAAAGATGACTAAAACCACATATAGGTTATTGTTTCATTTCTCCTCCCTTTTCCTGAAGTTTCATAGCTTCATTCCTACAACTTTTTTGGCCAATTTATGCACCTATGAATTCTTCCACTTCTTCAATATCAACGCTTCAATACAACAAGTCAGTGATTTGCTATGTTGTTTTCTTTTTCTTTTGGACCATATCTGGGGAACTGAACCCAAACTGGAACTCATGCTAAACATGTCAGCAAAAACAACTGAAAGTAGTAAGCCCTACATCTTTTTATTCATTTCAAGGTGGTTTGATGTCAGTTTTAAGGGTAGATCAACTAAATCCACATAAAAGTGGGTTTTTTTCCCAATAACAAATGGAAAAACTCAACCGACATGAAGAACCTTAAATAGTCAATAACTTTCAATAAAATAAAACTTTCCACTTGGATTAATAGCTGAACATAATGAGCAACATGTTTTAATTACATTAACTTTAGAAATGGGTTCAAACAGAGCATCCCATTCACCTTTCCTTCCCCGTGGTTCTTCTAATTCTTTTCCATAACCAGTAGTGGGTACTACAGTGAGGGGTGAAGTACCCAAGGGTGAAAAAAGCAGAGAGAGATTACCATTTACAGCTACTCTTTAAATGTTTTGTTCTCATTAGTGGAACTGTATACAATTATATTAATTAACTGATGCCACATTATTGCATGGAGCCAATTCTTCAGACATGCATCATATAATTGTTATTACTGTTTGCATCAGCTTTCCATAACAGCTAATTAAATTAAATACAATTTTTTTCAATTTCCTTTCACCTTCCAACTTTGCTGTCTCCATAATCTTTGTCTTCCTTTCACTTTTTTCCCATTGTTCTTTTTTTTGTGGACTTTCACTGGTTGAACCTGTGGAGTAGAATTCAGAGGATAAAGCACCTAAATCAGATTTACAAGAAGACAAACATTTCAAACCATAGACATACCTCAAACTTTTTTTAAAAACACCCTACATACAAAAACTAATCAAATTTTCTTTCATAACCCCTCCAACATAAAGCTTGCTGATTAATCTTTTGTTATTAAATATATGTAATCTAATAAATTAAGAAAAGAAAAATACAACCCTATAGAGAGGAAAATATCAAGCCTCGTGTCTCAATAGAAAAGATAACAGGTTACTGGAGATGTTTGAGAAAAACAAACATCAAATGAAATGTCTTTACAAACAAATTACATCTTGCACTGGCATGGTTTACATGTTGTGGTCAGCATAAGTTTATTCATGGTCAAGACAAGTTCCATCAATCTTGATCAAAAACTAGATCCATCCCCTCAAGACATGTACCCTACTATACTCCATATGTTGAAAGACTGATGGATTTCACTCAAAAACCTTTATAAATATTTTAAGATAGGACCAGGCCTTGTTACATTCTTTCTACCAACCTCTAAGAGCATCTTTCTCAAAGAACATTTTGCATGCATTGTACTCTTCTATGTCCATTGTTGTCTTCAGCCTCAGCTCAGCCAGGTTCAGTTCCTTCAAGATCTTCTCAGTTACAAAACAATTCTGAACCACTTCACCAAGATGACCAGATGAGTAATCTGTCCACAACTCCTCCAAGATCATTAGAGATTCACACTTCACTGTTATCACTAAACTTCCTACAGAGGTATCAGAAATGATGAGCTTCATTTCTTTCATGTATTCCTTGAACCTGTTGTGCTCTTCAGGGGACTGTGGTGGTGTGGTCTGGAGATAATTTTGCACAATTAATAGAAAGATTTCCTTTTCAAAGGCCTTGAGATGATCTTTCTTTGAATAGGACACACTTCCAGATGCAGTTAATGTAGCAGATGCCATTGGCTGCTGAACTTCTTGGCATCTGACAGACTCTGTTGCCAACATGCCAGTCTGCATATTCTGTTCTTCAGGTTTCAAGTCATCCACATCAACCTTAATATTCATTTCACCACCTGTTAAATTGTAACAGTCAAATTTAATCCTAATATATCAAGGTTTTTTCACCTCTTACCTAATTAATCATTAAAATTTGAGAACATTACAATGAGGCAACACCAATCAAACATAGAGCTTGTTACCAATGAATAAATACCAACAATGATTTAATGAAATAAAAATGATTACCACATACAGTATATAAATTGTTTCAGTTTCAGTTTCTTTAATTTGCTTCTTTACCTCATTCCATGGTAGAATCAAAATTCTGATTGATCTAAAAGATTACAGTTTCAAACATGGAAATATCTAAACAGACTTAGCTAAGGTGAAACATGGGCATGCCTAGCATGCCCAAGTTATTTTTTTGGCTGGGTGGGTCAAGATGGGACACTAAATGTGTACTTAATGTTTTCATTTATGTAAGTCAGAAAAAGAGCATAACTTTTCAAGGAACAAAAATATTGCATTCCTTCACCTTAAAAGAAAGAAAATAAAACCTAGTTTAACTAAAGTCACACCATGTCATGTATTTTATGATCCATTTTCTCTATTGTTCAAATACTTCTAGGCAAAAATAAAATGAATTAGTGCCACACTTACTGTATTCTCCTTTGCAGTTGTTGTTTGGTCTCACCACACAACGCCCTCTATTTCCTGAGAGAGAGTGCGTTGCGTGACAAGACTAAATAACAGATACAAAAGAAACCAAGCCTACTGCTGTTCCTCTAACAGAGAGAAAATCAAAATGAATTGCAGTCAAGTCGCTGACGGTTCAACTCGCCAACTCCAACTCGCTGACGTATAAAATCGAGTAGAGACGTCGGCGAGTTAGTCTTCAATCCAGTACAACTTATTAGAAGTTAAACATACAGAAAAGTAAAAGATGTTTAGTGAAAAAACAGTTTTGTTTCCTTCCAACAAAGTTTTTAAGGATCTCATAGCGAATAAAGCAATGTAAACATCGCCAATGAATGTAAAAGCTTCAGACGCGAACGAAATAATTATTGTGTGACAACAACACTGTAGAAATTCATCATGTCAATCGGTCATATTTTTTAAAAAAAACTTGGCTTTATAGACAAGATCTCTAGAAAAACCAATTATTTTTATTTTCAACAAAGTTTACAAGGATCCTAAGGCGAATAAAGCAAGGTGAACATCGCCAAGGACCAAAAAAGGTTTAGACACAAACGAGTTGTTGTGAGAAATATGAGAATGGTGAAAAGAGAGCGGCCCAATTATTGAAATCGATGTCGAGATTACACGGACCTTCAAGAGCAGAATAATTGCATGATATGTATAGCTTTCAAATGTTCACTTGATCTTTATAATATATCAAATCGTATCGTAAATCAAACATGCTCGATCATGAATAAATCATTCTTTAAAGTTAAAAAAACATGTCGTTCCGCCTGGTTGTTATGGTTGTCACACAATAACTCGTTCGCGCCTAAAGCTTTTTTGGTCATTGGCGATATTCACCTTGCTTTATTCGCCTTGAAATCCCTATAAACTTTGTTGGAAATAAAATGTTGTTTTATTTTGCGAAAGATCTTGTTTAGAAAGTCGTCTTTTTTTAAAAATCTGACCGAGTGACAAGAGAAGTCTTTACAGTGTCGTTGTCACACAATAACTCGTTCGCGTCTAAAGTTTTTTTGATTAATAGCGATGTTTACCTTGCTTTCTTCGCCTTGAGATCCTCATAAACTTTGTCGGAAATAAAAAGAATTGTTTTTTTAATAAAGGTCTTGTCTATAAAGTCAAGTTTTCTTAAAATAATCTGATCGACTGTCATGATGAGTCTTTACAGTGTTGTCACACATTAAAAACAACTGCTACCCTGTAAATTGAATATTTAACACAAAACATGTGAGCTTTGTCGTTATTTAAAATTTGATTAAAACTTCTGCATTTCTGATGCAAGGTGATAAAACTTACCAAATGCTAGATTGCACATCTTTGTAACAAGGAAATCACAATGCTCCTCCCAGCTGAACTGCTGCAAATAGTTTCCACGGAGAATCTCAGCCTCTGCAAGTCGTACATTCCTTTTTTTGTTACGCACAACTTTTATTGCTCTGGCCCAGTCTGCAGGATCCTCTGAATCCACTATACACTGGGACCCATTAGGCACCTCCCTTAAGGCTTCTGCAATTCCTGAGTTACCACTGACAAGTACTGGAAGACCAGCAGATATGGCTTTGAGAGCACTCAACCCAAATCCCTCAGTTTTTGAGGGCAATAGAACAATATCCACCATAGAGAATAAGTTAGCTAACGTTTTCCTGTTTTCATCAAAGCTGCAGATAATTAGCTGATTATGATCAATACCACACTGAAGTAACTTGTGTTTTAATTCATCTTCTTTTCCACTCTGTTTAGAAGCAAACTTGAGTTGGTATGATTTATCCTTCAGGTTAGCAATAGCTTTTGCTGCAATTTTGTATCCTTTAACATCAAAATCTTCACTATCACCACTCTCAATAACCAAGGCACAAAATGTTCTTCTTTCATCACTAGCTTGCTGCACATCTGAAAATTCAGAGAGAATGCTTGGCGTCAGGTTAAAAACATCTTTTTTTCCGAGTTGGTTCTTATATGCTTCAGTTAGTTTGAGGCCAATTGTTACAACTTGATCAGCCATTTCACATAGTTCTATCTCTGTTTGCTGCATTTGTTGACCTTCAGAAATGTTTTTGTACATGCCAATTTCTTCAGGGGCAGTATGGACAACTTGAATCCATTTGCAATGACTGTAATTTGGATTTTTCTTTAAGAGTGGAATTTGCTGACCAAGAGCTACTCCATGTCCTACTACACAATCCATAGCATGGCCATCAGGTACAGAGGCTAGCCAAAGAACTGGTTTTAAACCAGGCAGTTTAACTGCTTCAATGAGTTTAACATTGTAACTATCCGCATCTTTCTTGTCCTCCTCACTACACCGAGGTAAGAAAACACTGACTTCCACATTGGGATGTTTAGCCATCTGTATTGCTAGCTCTCTGTTGATGGTTGTTAAGTCTCCATCACTTGATGCTTTCCATTCAGCACTCAAAAGGGTTACTCTTAGTTTCCTTTCCCTGATGTCATTCTGTAAACGAAAGATTTTTGTGATTTAGGAAATTCAATTAGAGTTATAGAAATAATAAAAAAAACCCTCATTTTATGAATTATTTTACTTTTGAAAGATACTTCTTAATTTTCAATTCATTTGGTAACTTCACAAACTCAATAAACATATAAGCAAACATTGTACAAAATTTCCACAAAACAGTAAAGAACAATTGTTGTGGATATCAGGGTTAGTGTGATACAACTGTGTAGTCTCATTAACTCCAGGAAGTGACCTGCATCTGTAACTTTTTGATATCACACAAAAAATGTTATACACAAGTTTTTTTGTCTTCAAATATTCAGAGTCTGGTTTTGCATGACATGGCAAACTTTAAATCATCCAACTCTAACCAGTTAACTTGTATGATCATTTGTTATCATTTATTGTCTTAAAAATGAGAAACATGAGACATAGAAAGAAATTTTCATCAGCTTCAGTCATTCAAAAATAAAAACTTACTACAATCATCTATCTGGACTCTAAATCTTAAACTGATGTGAGCTTATTTTACTCTCCTTTAAATTTTTTTCCATATTGATCTCCTGCTGAATAAATACCAGCAATATATTATCACAAAGTTTTGTATCTGCAGGCATGTAATTTGCTCCTGAAGTGAGAGAGTTGGCAGGGATGCACTGATAATAGTGAAGTTTCCTTAAAATGAAATGACACTAGAGTGAACAAACCAACTTGGTCGCAGTTGTGATTTTAAAAAGCAGTTGTTTGATATCTTACCCTTAATTGTTCCGACATCATAGGAACTTTAACTGTTGAATAGGAATTTGCTAAAATAAAAATTAAAAAATTAATTACTTTCATAAGTTACTCTGAAAAAATGTCTTAAATTACTAATATTAGACTACCGTATTAAAAGACAACTGGAAATTACTGTTGGTGGCATATCACAGAGGAATCATATTGTTTCTTTGATGAGTGAAATTTAATTGACGAAATATATCCATAATAAAATTTCTTCCTCCCGAATCGCAAAGAGAAATGAAGTTTGTTTAAGGTACCAATGCAGAGGAGAGGTGCATGTACTTCAGTGCTGAAAAGAGGTTATTTCAAAAGCGCTAAAAATTTGACTAAGTGTTTCGCGATTACGTGCAGGGTTTGAATGAATTATTCTACATGCGATTCCAGTAAATAATTATCAAAAGTTTTCACATAGTTTTGTCATGTATACTTGTTATCAATATGTAATCGCAAGATGTTTGTATGCCGCAGAAAGGCAAAACAAGGTATCGTGGTCGTTTTAGATCGGGAGCTTTTGGTCTGGTTTACCAGAAACCCTGAGTGATCCGACTTTGGTTGGTATGTTATTTGAGTGACGGTTCTGTATCTGTTCCCTTTAGTGTCAGTCTGGAGCTACAGTTCGCTGATAATCTGAAATCAATTCAAATTGAAACTATGACTTACGGAAAAATAAACTGGCGAAACACCTCGTTCAACATTAGTAGTATTTCACGTCGACTTCCGCCTTCATCTAACGCTCTCGGTTCTATGAATTATTTTAATTGGTTCATTCACTATCACGTGACAGAATTGAGGGGGGGTGGGAACCCTCCTTTCAGGTTATGGCTATTATACACCGCACTGCTGGTTTTGTAGCCCGTAGGTATGTTGCCGCTGGATAAATGCAGGCTCGCTTATCAAAGTGGGAACGAAAATCTGAGCTACGAAGGAAATCTGTGAATGGATGTCAGTATATTCCAAGGAAGAAAAATTCTTCTGACGGAAGGAGGAGGATATTTTGGCCACAAGCTGGGAATGAGCTGAAGAGGATGGGAGCAGTGGTTGTATCATTTGACATCTCCTGGCCGTTGGATGAAGTTGTATACGAGCAAATGGAGTGTTTACTGGAAGACTTGACTGGGAAATTAATTAATTTACTTTGGATTACATTTTACCAAAACAACTTCATTCGGATCTTGCCTTCGTTTTTCGCACAGACGAAAATATTAAATTTTACAATGGGGAAAACACATGGGAGTTATTTCAATTTGCTGTGTCAGACACCTGATAGCGGGAAGTGCTTTTTAAAGATTCCAGAATTCTCTTACAATTTCCACTTCATCTTGCGAAGGATAATGTGATAATTATCCTGGATTTAATTGAATTTTTTTTTCGTTTAATCTTATGATAATGTTAAGTCTGATTTTGTGTCATAAGATTCATATGTATGTTTTAGGGGGATTTAACAAGTATAGAAGATTTTAGAAAGATTATCAGTCATCAGATTGATGTGGTTTTTCATAGTGCATCATATGGAATGTCTGGAAGAGAGCAAGTTAGTATGTTGTACTTATTGAGTGAATGGTAGGGCCATAAAAAATATATTTGACACCAGGTTGTGGATTCATAGATGTGCAGTACTCTGTATTTAGAGTGCTCTGACTCTCTGCTCATCCCAAATTTAATGATTGAGAATGTTTAACTGAATAAATGTTTCCCATACTGGCCCAACCTTACTCAGTCAAAACTGATTTTTTAGACTGAAATCCTGTCCAATCAATGTACCAATAGTGCTTTTTGCTTTCTGCTCCTGAAACTGAAATGAGTGGTTACATAATGGTTTATTTCAATTAGAAAATTACTTTAGTGTGTTACCCCTTAGGTATCTATGCACATGTTATTTGTAATCAAGCAAGCAAGCAAGCAACAAGTTTCTTCTAGCTTCAAAGAAAGTTTTAGTTTCCCTCCCACCCATACCACAGATATTTTTGATTGTTTCTTTATTTCATTTGTATTTGTAATTTATTCCTGATTACTGGAGTGTTGTTTTAGTGTATTCGTCAAATATCTCTTATGTAATAGTTTAGTAAGTTACTTATGTAGGATAATTGTGGGAAATTTTAGTAAATGCTGTTGGAAAGTGCTCAATACACATGAGTATAGAGCAAAATACAGTTCAAAATGACTAAAATGAAACAGGCATGATTCCCTGTAAGTCTTGAGTTTCGTGCTTACGCACTCATCAGACAGATTTAATGAACAACATTCTTGTAGGCTAATTTATATATATAAAAAAGATAGGTGCTGATTACAATAGGTTGTTGTTATATAATAGGTGAGAAAAAACAAAAATTACAATGGGTGTGGATGTATTAATGAAGGACAATGTGGCAGTAGGTGTGAATATATTGACAAAAGTCTATTGTAGCGGGGAAGCATCAGATGTTCTTTAGATAAAACTTGTTTTCGTGACAGCATTTGGATATAAGTTCAGATCTTTTATTCAGTAAGTTGTTGCTGTTGGACTTAATAATCATAAGTTTTTTGATCAAGCAAAGGTCGCTTCTTTTCATCGTGTTGTTGTAGGGCCTAGCTCTTGCAATAATGGACCATTTTATGTTGAAGTTTACAGAGTTGTCCTTCAGTTGCCAGATGTATTTGGATAGTTCAGTGCTGTTAGTGTATTTTCTGTGTCGGAATGTAACCTTGTCTTGATTAAATCTTTGTTTAAAAGTTCCTTCAGTCAGTCCAATGTAGCACTAAGACTAAAGACTAACAGTATGGTAGTCAAACATCACAATCAACATCCAAAGTGATTCCATTATGAGACAAACAAGTAAAGTTCATTTCTTATTAATCTTGTAAGGAGAAATTCCTTTTCGGTCAATTTAGGAAATGAAAGGATTGTAATTATAAGTACTCATCTGAGGAAGCATTTTAAAAATAATTTCTACTAGTGTCATGCAGGAAGTGTGAACGCTGCAATTGGTAAATTTATATGATCACAGTATCATAAATATTATGTCAGTAAATGAAGAACCTTTTTCATACCATTCAAATACTATTAATGGGGTCATTCATGCCAGTATTCTTTGTGTGACACTTGAGCAAATCTTTTCAGCAGAGTTTCTGTCCTCCATTCTTCTCTTAAATGTAATGCAACTATTTGCTGTGTGATGTGGTATGAGATTCCGCTTGTACCAAAGTTTTATCCTGGTTGGCTTTCTGACATGCCTCCGGTACCATGCCACTGTTTGAGTTAAATGAAACAGAGATGGGAGTACAACAGTAATATATCTATTTGATTTAGAGGCTATTTTGATGTCTTGACGGGACCAGATTAATTTTTGCAATGCGCCAAGGGTTTTTGGCGCTGAATCAATTCTTTTCTTAACTTCGGGATTTGATGAATTGACGATGGTGACATGCTCAAGTTTGCCAGGAAAACAGAGGACTAGTTATGTATATATTTAGTTAGCCTATTGTTTCCTGTATGGGGTGTGTGGAATGCACCTATACGCGTCTAATTTATTCAAAATACTCTCGCGGCTTCGGCAGTTTAAATTTCGTTGTTTTCGCAGGACCATTATTCAGTTTGTTTTAGTTTACATGGAAACACAGCTGCAGTATACAGTACAGTTTATGTAGCCATTTCCAGGGCTGTGACAAATGTAAGTGTCATTTTTCTGGCGGTTGTCTATTAAGGTTTTGTGTCGCTTTCCGCTCAATTTTTTTCTCTACCGTAAAGTTTGTTTACGTGTATATTTCTCTCAGTTTTAACCGCATGTTACGCTAAGGTGTCGCTTTACCGCAAGTCAATAAAGATTAAATGCGTGTTAAAATGTCATTCTTGGTGTCAGCATCGAATCCACTGAGTTGGCAGTTATAAGTTAGACTAATTAGACTAGTCAGATTGGTTAAACTAGTTAGACCCGCGTGTTTTACAAAGGTCCTGATTTTGAGGCAACAGTTCTAAATCTGACATAGTTACAGCAGATCGCTCGGTGATCTACAATTTTCTTAATGTTTTCAGTATCAGTAGCAACCAGGACAGAATTGCTGGTAAACAAGAGCTCTCTGACATGTAAGTCTCTTGTCCTTGGTGGAACTTTGAGTCTCTGATCTGCTAAACAGTT